GGGTAAAATCAAAGTACAAACGTGTAATGTAAGTATCATAAAATGAATAGCAGAAAATCTGATTAAAATGTTGAAAAATTCTTCTTTATTTTTTCTTTAATAAAATTAAATTTTCTATTTCTGTGCTAACATATTTTAATGATTGCATATTATTTTTTAAACCAAACTAATTACAGGGACTTCTTAGAGGAAATGTTACAATGCATACATAAAAATAATAATAATATAATATAATTGGTAGAAAACTTTTTTCTGGAAGCCTACAAGGAAGCACCTATTCTTAAATAAAAATAAATAAAATCCAACATAACTCAGCCATTAATGATTTAAAATTAGTTACTAATGTTATTTCAAAAGTAACAAGAATTAATCTCACACATTTATATGTAGATTGTAGAGTGTTATAATTTAAAATTTTATTTGTTAAATTATAAAACTTAATACGAACTTTCTAAAACTGAACTTCATCCTTTTAATTAAGAGAAATATACTTTATGGTTTGACTAAGCTTTTTTAATTAAGAGCATACTTCTGTATATTTTATTATTCCAGATTTCTTATTACTAATGGCGCAACAGCATTTATATTTATGAATCGTTAAAACGTTATAGTAGTACCTAACTGTGATCTAGAAACAAGTACATTTAACAAGACTAGACGTGCTCCAATCCCCTGTGGCATAATAAATAAATAAAAATAAATATGTTGGGACAATAACACAGCACCATCTAGTTCCATGGTAAGCTCTCGTAGCTTGTGTTATGGATACCAGATAGTTGATACACTATACATATATATGTAACTTTTAAATACATATATTATACATATTATAAATATAAACACCCATGACTGGAGTACAAACATTCGTGCTCATCACACAAATGAATGTCTCCAGCGGGACCCGAACCCGCGACCGCTGGCACAACAAGTAGGGCCACTACAAACTGAGCCAAACGTGTTGTCGTAATAATTTATGAAAGCTCAAAAAATTACATCTGCCAATAAAATGAACATTTTAACTTTGACCTTTAATCTTATCTTCTTCTATGGAACAATTTTGTTAAGCAATTTTTGTGCAAAGCGTAGTCTTATTTACGTTGGGAAATGCATTTATCATATCCACCTGCATACATTTAGGTGTTTGGTTATTTGGAAGGGTGGCAATTATGCCATTTAAAGATTTAAATAATAAAAAACGATATATGAAACAACGCGACGGTTGTTTCTTGTGTGTTTGAAGTAGGTAAACTTATTTATTTATATTTTAGGATCGAATGAACGACAGCTTAATCATGTGCTCAATTTAATAGGTTAAGTAAAAAATAATGTAAAGAGCTGTGAGTGACTGTAATACAATATATTATAAACAATAAATACTGCGCAATAAATAGTTTTCTACTGTTTTTCTAACTGTGGATTTATTATACTGCTATTGTACTACTCTGAAAAATGTTCTAAATTTTTCACGTTCCAAGTAAATGTATAGAATAGAAGGCAATCAGGACGCATATACCATATACCTAGGTATAATATGTAACTTTAAAAATAAAATGATATTTTCTACCCGAAGAAGGAGAATTTACGTGTAATTTTGTATACACCTTAAAGTTATAATTACGTAATTTAAAAATCGGCTGAACGGATTTGAGTGAAATTTGGCATAGAGATAGATTATAGTCTGGAATAGCACATAGGTTACTTTTTATCAGCGAGGGTGACTCGCTAGTTTACAATATAAAGTGACAAATAGTTAAACCGTTTGTATATTGGAGAGGATAATAATCTAGCTTATGAAAAACCATAACGTGCTCTAATGTTATAAAAATATAATACATATTAACTTATATATGATGACATTATCAGCAATTTAACTTTTTTTATGTGTTGTTTACCGGAGATACAAACGGCTGCGGTAACCAAATTTATTTTGTTATACTTTTTCATATTTTAGTGCACACTTTTTGATACAAGATAAAATAGTTATACAGCTTTCGGGTGAGCGACATCTATCATCAGCTATTCATACAAAACAAAATAGCCCCATGAATAGTCCGAAATAGGACCGTCCAATTTCGTTATATAGAATGGGGTATCTATGCTAGTATAGTATTATGTCATCTAAAGTTATACTTTATTTTAGGTCCCAGTGTACTTAAAATACTGAAAACGTATTATATAACTTTATTATTCTATATATGTACTTTATTATTCTATATATTATGTATATGTAATTTACACTAGCGATCCACCCTCTGTCCGCTCGAATTCGTCCCTAGAGAAAAATTAGGTTTGTATGTATTTTTAATGCCGAATCATAAAAAATGTTGTCCAATAAATAAAAATTAAATGTGGCACTCGGAGACTGCCGCGGTAAAGCTATTGCATAGCATCTTTTATCAACTTATGCAATTATAATTATTTATTTATTTTATTAATGCAGTATTTTTTTTCTTGACTTTCTTCATTAATAAATGCACTTTGTTTATTCATATTTAAAACACTTTGTACACAAATTATACGAGTACAGATATTCACTGTTGTACATAGATGATAAATACCTATACACCTATATACTTTCTCACAAACAGCTGATTACGGTAGTTTTCCAATACAACCAATGCCACCTAAAGGCGGGTTTTGCTGAACTAAAGAGACAAGCGTGATATTTCAAAAAGTCATTAAAAGTTCTGGTATTTATCGATAGATGGAAAAACTAAAAAGTATCACCGCTGTGCCGGTCGGAGTGGGGGGTGTCAGGTTTTTTTCGTTACGGAATTTCTGGATTCGGTCCCCACGCTCAAGGCCCGCGATAGAAGCTATGCAATAGCTTAAAAAATATTTTAGGGTGGACCACCCTTATCACTTAGGGGTATGAAAAATAGTTTACGTCCTATTCGCAAACCTACTGAATACACACACAAAATTTCATACGAATCGGTCTAGCCGTTTCAGAGGAGTTTTGTTACAAACACTGTGACACGAGAATTGTATATGTTAGATGTGTGTACTCGTTCATATTAAAATTATAGTTCATATTTAACTATATAAATATTCATTGTTAATCAGAAAGAATCGCGCACGTAGATTGCTGCCTAAGTTTTTTTAGTTGTAGGTTTATATTTAAATAAGTAGATTTTGTGTATAATATAGATTTCGTTTACGCGATCTCAAAAATCTGTATTTATTTTTATTCAAATTATCTAACGAAAAAAAATCCAGCACTTTTTAATAGATTAACAATAGAAATGATATTTAAAGATAAATTTCTAGAATCGACCTAAAGTAAACTACATTGTGTTCAATTTAACGACACATTTACTTTCATTAAGGAGCATGGGAGCCATCTCAATATTGCAAACGGTCACTATATTTTGGAATCGAGCCAGATATCGTTACTTATGCCAACATATTCCCAAATGTCTACTAGGATAACTGTTAACTACCTGTAAATTAATGAAAAAAAGTTTTTATGACCTTTCTCGAATAAGAATCTTTAATCTATAGGTACAAAAGTGCAACTAAGAAACGTCTATGGACATTAATTTTTTTTTAAATCATTATCTAATAGTCTTTATTATCGATACAAAGGCCAAATCTATACTTTTTGATTTTTTTTGTCTATCTGCCTGTCCGGCTCAGTGAAATGTTAGTCTTTTAAAAAAAACACGCTTGAACAAGGCGAGAGTGTGTATGCACAGTATGCAACATTTTGCCAATAACCTCAAAAAGAATAGATTATATTTTTTTTTTCATCATTTAAATAAGATAAATATTTAGAAAAGATCTGGTCTTTTCAGTGTTTCAGCAAAAAAGCAAAATTATTGGCCTGAAAATTATCCACCCACCTTCATGCTTGAATAAGCTTTTAAACATTGAAGGCCTTTTTATTAAATTATACAGGATTTTCCCGTTAATCATAAAAATACAGAAAAATCGACTTCTTAAATGTTTTAATTAGAGGAATAAACTTGAGAATTTAATTATCTTTCCCTTGAAATGATATTCCGTAAAAGGATCTTCCTTTCTTAGTACCAAGTATAGGTTATTTAGGTATTATTTATTTGTAAATATTTTAAAAATCGTTGTTTTAGATTAAATTTCACAATAAAGATTATTAAAAATATATTTCACCTTTATTTGAATCACACGCATACTCCCTATTAGCTTCTACGATTTGACTAACTGATGAATCAGTTAGCTTAGCAAAATAAACAGTTAATTGTACAAACTTATACATCCCACACCTACTTTTCTTAGAAAAATAGAATTTTTCTATCATTAAATATCCTCTTAGATAAGTAACATATGAATTTATTTCAAGAAAATCAGATATTTGTTTGTCAACACACTTCGTGGAACTGGGAAAAGCCATTTTAAAGTTAAATTAGTTCAAAGTTTGCCATTTCCGAATGCCCGCTGCTTTTCAGTGGAGAAACGCACCACTTTCTTGTGAAAAATATGTATTTCTAGCTTACTAATTTCGTATCTATAAAATAGATATTTTACAGAGGTAGATACTCTGTAAAATATCGTCGTAATAAAAATTCATTAAAGCATATTCTGTATTTTTTATCGCGCCTCGCAAATGTATGATATGCCATCTTTAACCTAATTTAAGATGTGTAGGCCGTAACGGGACTTTAATAAAAGTAGTGGACTGTATATAAAGTACGTATAATCAAATTAAGAGTTTTGGGGAAGTGTCCGTAGTCCAGCGCGCAGGTAGGCGAAGTGGCGCGATCAGATGCGCTCGCGGTCGGGGAGGGTCCCCCGCCCGCGCAGCTCATACGTCACGCGCCCGGTAAGAGGGAGACGCGCCGACATATTCCCCGGGTTGAAGAGATCTTCAAGATTCAATCGGAAGAGGGCAGATGCAGTTGAAGGCACGACGCACGGTACCCTTCTTCGTCTTCATCTCAGCTACTCGCGTGACTCCGTCGACGCCGGGATAGGTCTTCGTGACCCGACCCAGGGACCAGAGCAACGGTGGTGTAGCTTTATCCTTGATGAGGACCAGGGATCCAGGCTTCACTTCCCCTCTGGAATCAAACCATTTCGATTTGGCCTGTAGTAATGAAATGTACTCATTATGGAATCTCCTCCAAAAGTGCTGTCGGATGAATTGGATTCTTTTCCATCGGTCGAGCCTCGTTATATTGGCATTAGTCAGCAGGGGGTAAGGAACAGATAAGAGTGGTCGTCCAATTAGGAAATGAGAGGGAGTAAGTGCCGAAAAATCTTTAGGGTCTGATGAAAGAGGAGTAAGAGGGCGCGAATTCAAGACCGCCTCTATATGAGTGAGACAGGTGGCCATCTCCTCAAACGTAAAATGGGTTAAATGCAATAATCTTTTTAAATGATGTTTGCACGATTTAACAGCAGCTTCAGCTAGTGAATTAAAGTGGGGGCTATATGCTGGCGTGAAATTAAATTCGATACCCTCCTGAGCTATCTCAGATGCAACATTAGACGATCGTAAAAACCTAAGTAAGTCATTTGATGCGCCTACGAAATTCGTCCCGTTATCGGACGTGATGCTTCGAGGCTTGCCTCGACGCGCCACGAAACGATTTAAAGCAGCCATGTACGCGTCGGTGGTGAGGTCGGAGACGAGTTCCAAATGTACAGCTTTCACTGCTGAGCAAACAAAGATGCACATATATGATTTTATGAGTTTGCTGCCGCGACCTTTCCGATCGGCGATCAATACTGGCCCTGCGTAGTCAACATAACAATGTAAAAATGGAAATTCAAGATGAGTCCTTGAATGTGGAAGTTGACCCATTATAGGCTGAACATTTTGAGCCTTGTATCTGAAAACATTTAAGACACTTGTTCACGACAAGTCTAGATAGGTTTCTACCTCCTAGGGGCCAATATGTTTGTCTTATATGTGACAAAAGCAATTGCGGACCTGCATGTAAAAGTTTTAAATGTTGCATTTGAAATATAAGTTTAGTTAATATATGTTTGCTACAAATTACAATGGGATGTTTCACACTAAAATCGTAGGGGGAATTATCAAGCCTCCCGCCCACGCGAATGAGGTTTTGATCGTCTATGAACGGAGTTAAAGGAAGCAATTTACTTTTGCGAGGCAATTTTTTACCAGACTTTAAGAGATTATATTCTTCAGGAAACATTTCAAGTTGTGAATAATGTATAATCAAGTTTAATGAATTTTGTAGTTCTGTATTAGAAAGACTACCACGTAATTTAATTTTATTTTTTAAGTTGTAAATAAATCTTTGTACATAAGTAATTATAATTTTAATTTTTGTTAAGCTAGAATGTTTTTGTAATAAATTATGAATGATAGATGAATTAATGTTTATGTCTGAATTATGAATGACGTATGAATGATTGTTTTCGCTACTATCACTACTAATGAAATTAGATACTACTTCCGGCAAATCGTGTTTCTCTGTATTTGGCATTTTGGGCCATGCATTTTCAACATGAAATAAAAAGGAGGGACCAGACCACCATAGAGGTGTGTCCTTAATTACGTCGGCCCGAAGACCACGGGAAACAAGATCCGCCGGGTTGTCATCCGACGGTACGTAGCTCCAGGTATGACCACACGTGCTCTCTTGAATCTCATGGACTCTATTCCTAACAAAAGGTTTTAATTGTTTAGAAGGAGTGGAGAGCCAACCCAATACTATTGTAGAGTCACACCAGAATCTACAGTTATGAATTGGTATGGTAAGCGATTCTAGCACCTTAGTATACAGTCTTGCACCCAACAAAGCCCCACAAAGTTCAAGCCTTGGAATCGTCGTAGGTTTTATGGGCGCTACACGGTTTTTAGAGACTAAAAGGTGTACCCCTGTGGTTCCAATACTATTACAGGAACGAATGTACACACAAGCGCCATACGCTTTTTCGGAGGCATCTGTAAAGACGTGTACTTCGTGCATAATAGAGTCTTCATGCAAAACCCAACGAGGTATTTTTAAATGATTTAAAGATGTAATTGTATTTTCATACGTAGACCAAAGGTTTTTAATTTCGACCGCTATTTCGTCGTCCCAGTCATATTTATCAAGCCAAAGACGCTGCATGATAATTTTTGCTTCGACAACGCAAGGACCTACGAGGCCTAATGGGTCAAAGATCTGACTGATGACAGAGAGGACATGGCGTTTAGTGATCTTAGTTGAAGGCGTAATGTTAATAGAGTATGTAAGTAAATCTAAATCACATACCCAATTAAGCCCTAGAGTTTTAGACTGACTGAAATGTTGACTTTGCTCTGTAAACTGTAAAATATTATTTGTTTCATTGCATTGTGTAATTTGCTTAAGAATATCTGGATGATTGGATCGCCATTTACGCAAGTTAAATTTAGCAAGAGACAGAACCGATTGTACCTTTTTTGAAATTTCGACAGTCTGGGCTATGGTACTTCCCCCACTTAGATAGTCGTCTACGTAAAAATCTCGCCTTATAGCGGATTGAACACGATTATCCTCTACATCATCAGCCAAACTTACTAAGCACTTAGTGGCTAAATAGGGAGCAGATGCGGTACCATAAGTGACCGTATTTAAAGTATAGGTATTTAGAGGCTCTGATGAATCATATCGGAAAACGATTTTTTGAAGATTTCGTTGGTTTGGATTAAGTTCTATGGCTCTGTACATTTTTTCTACGTCACCTGAGACCACATATTTATGCTGACGAAAACGTGTTAATATGCTAAACAGATCGTCTTGAACTACGGGACCGACCATTTGAATGTCGTTAAGAGACACCCCCGTACTAGTAGGGGCTGATGCGTCGAATACTACGCGTAGTTGTGTAGTGGTGCTAGAGGTGCGAACTATTCCATGATGTGGAATGTAATGTTTAACCTCCGATTCTTCAGAGATGGAAACATGGTCAGAAAAAGGATCTAGTGACATATGACCTAGACGTTCATATTCACGCATGAACTCGTTGTATTTAAGTTTGAACGAAGGATCACGTTTGAATCGCCGCTCTAGAGATAAAAACCGTTTTTTCGCGTTTTCAAATGAATGACCTAGAGTGCTAAGATCCCCCTTTAAAGGCATAGTAACAACGAACCCACCATCAATGTTACGGACGGTGGTTTGAACAAATATTTGTTCACACATTCGTTCTTCAAGAGAGTGCGAATGTTTTAATGAGACATTGTCAAGCTCCCAAAATCGAGTTAAGTCGGGAGTGACGCTGGAATGGTGGCAAAAATGGGAAAAAGAAGAACTTTGGTTCGAAATGCTACCTGAAACTAGCCATCCAAATTTAGTTTCAAATAATTTAGGTCGATTTTTTCCTAAGTTTATGGAGTTTTTGCCTAACACACTCCAAAATATTTCAGCCCCTACCAGGATGTCTACAACCGACGGAACGTTAAAGTTCGGGTCTGCTAACTTAAGACCTGAAGGAATAGGGACATGTTCGATGTTCACGTATGAAGACGGTAAAAACTTTGTAATTTCAGGCAAAATATGACACTCGACATCGACAGTAAAGGCACAGCATAAAGACTCTATTGTGAGATTACAAGACTGTGTACTGGTGGATATATGATTATTTAAACCTGTTACCTTGGTGCTCGCACCGCTTAGTGACAAACCCAGTTTCTCTGATAAGCTTTGCGTTATAAAATTCGCCGTACTACCGTTGTCCAGCAATAGACGGGCTGCGTACTTCTTACCGGTCGCGCTGATCACGTTCACCATAGCTGTGGACAGTAAAACATGCGCAGAAGTAGCAAGCTGCATAGAAGTAGCTGATAGCATAACATTTGATGCGGAAGGCGAAGCAGAAAGCCATGGTTTGGAAGATTGTTTGGGTTCAGTAGATTCTAAATGCAATAAAGTATTATGTTTTGTTTTGCAATATTTACAATGAGATAGTTTGCATTGCTTAGCAGTATGTCCAAAGCGTAAGCAGTTAAGACAAACATTATAATCATTAGCTTTTTTAATGCGATTTTCAATTGATAAGATTCTGAAAGATTCACATTTATACAATGAATGAGATTGGGAGCAATGAGGACATTTAATAAAGTTATTATAATTATTGTTTTTAGATTTTTTATTAATTTGAGTAGTGTTTAAGTTTACCTGATTATTATTTAATGCATTAATATTACAAGGATTAGAATTATTACTTGAGTTAGCATCAGGTTCAACGGATACTAACCAGTCTGCTTTCCTACTTAAAAATGAACAAAATTGTTTTAAGGTAGGATCATCCTTAATTGTAAGACTCCTATGTTCTTCCCAGTCACGACTAGTAATAAAGTCTAATTTTTTAACTAAAATGTGTAAAAGCAATGTGTCCCAAAATTGAACGGGCTGTTTAAGTTTTGTTAATGCTCTTACATTTTTGTTTATAACGTCTACTAAATTTCTAATAGGGATGCTCGATTGTTTCAATATTGGCTTGATATCAAAAAAAGCTTGGATATGATTGCTTATAAGAATGCGACTATTGTTATACCTCTCACATAACAACTCCCATGCAATAGTATAATGGTCACCCCTAAAATCAATATTTCCAATAATAAGAGCTGCACTTCCGTGCAAAGAAGCCCGTAAATAATGAAATTTAGTGATGTCATTTATACTCGCGTTGTTGTGAACTAGTGACGTAAATGTTTCTCTAAACTCGAGCCAGCATTGATAGTTCCCATCGAAATGAGGCAAATCTATTTTAGGCAAACGAACAAAATTGGAAGTATGTGCACCTGAGTCAGCATCTTTGAAGCCCGCCTCAGACCCAGCACCGTTGAACGAAACGCCGAGCAGGCTGCGCGTGAGTGCCACCAGGCTAAAGAACTGGCGATCAAAGTCCTCACGCTCAGTTAACGCAGACTCGTCGTCGTCAGCGAGCACCTCGATCTGAGTCTGTAAATCGTCGAAAGTATCATAAAGGGTTTCGAATTTAATCAAACGCTCTTGTAAGTCTGAGCGTTGCAATGCAGAAATCTCTGGGCTACTTTTAATTAAATTTAAATAATTATTAAAAACAGTGACCTTTGATTTTATTGAGCTACGTTTTTTAATCAATGTTTTATAATTATCTGCCATTTTAAATAAATAAGTTAAATGCAAACGCTAATGACTTACGTATAAAAAATAAAAACTAAAGAAACAGATGTGCGAGAACAATAGGCCCGATAAGCTAATGACTCGGTCAAGGTCAAGAACGACACCTGCGTATTACGTAGTTATTAGCAATTTAAATAGTTAAGAATTAACGTATTTGTTCTAAAGCTGTGCATATGAATAATGACGTGGAAGATTTAAAAATGATTTTTGGCATAAAAAGAAAATAGGAATAACTAATTGGAACAAACACACTCAAATACTGTTATAATACTCCCTGAATGACTTCAGCCTCCTTTGGATGACGCTGCAGGCGGCTACGGCAACGACTTCTTTTTTCTTTGTTTGAAAAATGTGCTTGTCACCTTGTCACCTTGTCACGGTCAAAGTACTACCGTTGACCGCGCTGACGTCGACGACTTGATTTTCGTAGGAATCAACGTTTTGCTCGTAGGACCACAACTTTGTGTAGGCCGTAACGGGACTTTAATAAAAGTAGTGGACTGTATATAAAGTACGTATAATCAAATTAAGAGTTTTGGGGAAGTGTCCGTAGTCCAGCGCGCAGGTAGGCGAAGTGGCGCGATCAGATGCGCTCGCGGTCGGGGAGGGTCCCCCGCCCGCGCAGCTCATACGTCACGCGCCCGGTAAGAGGGAGACGCGCCGACATAAGATTTACAAGAAGTTAGTTATTTTGCTGTAGAAACCTTTGGCCCATGGAGTCAAAGTGCTAAGCTCTTCTTAAAAGACATAACACCCCGTCTTATCACCTCTACTGGTGACAGGAGGGCTGGCGCATTTTTCGCCCAAAGAATCGGCATTGCCATTCAACGGGGGAATGCGGCTAGCATTCTTGCCACTATTCCACGCGGACATGACTTGTACAGTAATAACTAAGTGTACATATGTTTTGTATATATAATTAAGTATATTTGTAATTTTCTTTTTTGTAAATAAACCTAATAATAATAAAAAAGATTTACACTATACGAAATATATTTGATATAATATTCTAAGTACATAAAGTAAAAATTTTATGTATAGGTATAGCAAACATTCCAGTATACATTTTAGTTCAAAACATCGTTAACTAACTCATTTAAAAAAACCAATTTATAATTTGTCAGTTAACGTTTGGTAAAACATTTAAAGCATATATTAGCAACTTACTCTCGCTCATCTTCGCTCAGATCCATAGTTGTCTAATAGTAGCTAGTATAGTTAGTACGTCTGCAACACTTTTCGCCTGAAATGTACACAGATATACAAACATCTGTAAAAAGTACTGAACCGATTTTAACTAAATTATATGTAGTGATTATTTCTTATTCGGATTATTTGTGATACCTTATACGTCAGGAAAATCTTTCGTTCCCACGAGAAAACATATTAACTGGTTCTGTCCAGTCGTCCTTAGTTTACATGGGTAAAGTTGGCTTAACCTTAAGAGGTCTTAAAAAGGCCTACAGAAAAATTACATTTGATAAATCAGTGACCTTAAATAAAAAAAATATATAAAAACTTAAAAAAAAATGATTTTTGATTCATAATGAGAAACTACTTAACTAAGCTACTGCTCTGCTATCCTTTTATCAAAATTAACGTGAAAATAAAATTTTTAGAAACTAAAAAGCTAGATGCATCCGACACATTCTGTGAAAATAGAAAAAATCTATTTTCCAGTCGTAATAAACGTCAGTTTTAAGATGGAAAAAAATAAAGCAGACTGAGGATAAACTAAAAAGATATTATGAGGAATCTGCTCCATCTCATGAAATGATACCTAAGTGGTTTACTTCACCACTAAGGACAATGTTAATAAAATCCACAATATTGTTTTAGCCGAACGTCGAGTAAAGATACACGAAATAGCTATTATATTCTGGATATGAAAAAGCTTTTTGGAACATACTCGTAGGTGCCGCGGTTACTGACAGTCGACCAAAAACGTAAAAGTTTAGTTTATACCTATTTAATATTTAAGTTTAGTTCGTATTTCCGCAATCTAAGTGTTTTTTTTTTCGTCGATACATAACCGTTCATAAAATGTGATTTCATTCGGTTTTATAATGAGTTGGTTAGAAAACGACTGCATCTATCTCTCCCGGATATTCGTCTGCAATTATGACGTCAGAATTCGTTGGTACACTACCCACCGAAGTACTCTGCCGAAGCAGACCACAACTGCCATGGGGTTGCTCCAACGATCCACTCTGCTATCCTCAAGTGAGCTTCTTGGCTTCGCACCCGGCTGACTCTACTCTTACCCTGTGCCTACCTATTGTATATACTTTTTACGTGGATTACTATGGTTCTTTTCTTATAAGGCTAATTAAGAAGCGTAACACTCTCCGGTGATTCTGATCTTTCTTATCTTTTTTTTATAATCAAAATCTTAATCTTATTTTGACTCACGTTCCAAATCGGTAAATGAGACGTAAACCATCATCACTGACGTGATGAGGTTCAACGTATAAAATTAACTAGCGGCTCACCCTCGCTTCGCTCGGGTTCGTCGCGAGGTACGTTTTAAATAGATATAAATAGTAATTAGTCAACGTTAGCCATATATATATTTTTTTGTTAATAATATTGACAAATATTGACATTAATATTTATACGATTCTAACTTCACTCAATTGCCATCAATGTTTTGCCTTCCCGGAACCTCTCCACTAACACATAAACTTTATGTTATGGTATTAAAGTTCAAATTGATTTTTAAGTATTATTACGAATCTTTTATATGGGAGTATAGAAGTGTTGTTTTTAGACTTTTTCAGGCAATTTTTTAAATTTTTCTCTTCGTAAGAACCATCCTCGTACTTCAAGGAATATTCTAAAAAAATAATTAGCGAAATCGGTTCATATCAGCTGCTCTCGAGATTTGCGCTTACCGACACATTCAGCGATTCATTTTTATATTAAAGATATGTGCAATTTTTTACGAAATCCTAAACACGATGGTATTAAATTACTATCGTAAACCTTGAAATTGATAAAAAGCTATGTAATTTATATCATATATTTATAGGAGTACAATAGAAAGTCAGTATTGAGCAACGCTTGCAAATCAAGAAGTGTTGCTAGAACTTACATTGCTATAACAGCACTCAATCGTTCTGCGCGCTACAACGAGAATTTTTCGATCACAAAATCGTCTTATTACGTGGACTATTCTTTAGATCGGGTCAGGTCAAGTGTAGTCATTGGGATTTTCTGTGAAGAATTCTCAATAGTAGCTCGGAGTTAAGGCGTTGGTGAACGCGTCATGCCCTGAGGCCCTGACACATACTGCGGGTGCATTGACATTTAGATAATCTTAAAACTATCAAAGTTTATTCTAAATTTTGCTTATAAAAATCTTTAATTTTAACCTTTTTACAATAAGTCGAATAAAAATTTAATTTTGAGAGTACATTTTATTACGAGTATATACATACCTACAAAATATACGTAGTTTTGTTTATGTTTTTACATTGTCTTTAGTTTTAATTCAATTGTTTTAAATTTTACTGTAGATATTTAACCGACGAAAAAAAGAAGATGTTCTCAATTCGACACATATTTTTTATTTTAGTCCAATTTCGATGAATATTTCTTTATTGAATAGGGTATTTATATACTTCAAAGTTGGTCTCACTTAAATTTGAAAAAAAATTACCCCTAACTGTAGAAATAAAACGGTAGATTTTTCATCTACTGAATTATTCAAATACTTTCTTCTTACTTTGCTAAATAAAAACTTTAAAAAAATAACCAACTTTAAAAAAAACACGAAAAAGTAAAAAATAACTGATAGTTTTCATTTACTATAGATACCTAATCAAATATTTTCGAAGTCGGTGCCAGCCAATACAAATCAAAGCACGCCGACGAAAATATCTGATTAGGTATCTATAGTAAATAAAAATTACCAATCAGTGATTTTTTACTTTTTAGTGGGTTTTTTTTTCGAAGTCAGTTTTTTTTAGTTTTAATTTTAATATTTTTAATGCAGTTTTTATAAGTTACTATCTATATTCTATACCAACTATCAACAAAAGAGGATATTTACAAAAGGCCGTTCCGGGCCTGCATGCAATAGAGTTAATTACCAGTATCAAATATTCACCCTCTTTAGCTGTGCAATAATAAAAATCATATTCACTTGATGTATACAGTACCTATAGAAGACCAAAAACCTGAAAACAATATTCAAATAATACTTAATAAACTCAACCTACTAGATACTACATAATAGGTATATGTTATTTTTCTATGGAATATATCCTTTCAAAACGTATCTGCCATTTTTAATCAAATGAAACGAAAACCTAAAATGGGCTTAACCCCGATACAATACAGTGGTACAATAGAACTATCGAGCGCCACAGCAGAGCCAGATTCGTTTAGTTTTCAGCACAAGTATTACATGAGATTTTTACTATGATATTTTATTAAAATTGCTAATTAATCAACAGTACCTATGAGTTATGACATAATTTGTTAAATATTCTATTAATATGACATGTTCTATTATGAATACTAGCAGTACCCGCGGCTTCGCCCTCGTTCAAACTATTAAAAAAACGAACTCTTTGACATACCGACTGCAGCGTCACCTACTGGGTCCATTTGTGAATTTAAACCTTGCAGACCCCACTCGAAGGTACACAAAAAATATCATTAAAATCGTCCTTGCCGTTTAGAACAAGATCAGTGACATACCAACAGCAGCCCCGCCTACCGGGTCCGATTGTGTTTTCGAACCATCCAGGAGCCCATTGAAATATAGACTCAAAATTTCATCCAAATCGACCCAGCCCTTTAGTAAGGTGAGAAACACACGTACAGAAAAATTATATATATTAAGATATCTATTAACATGAGATATTGTATTTAGTTCATAGTAACATCCAAGTATGCAGTTTAAGTCACGCTACCCTTTGAGGCAAATACCGTTATAGGAAATTAGTTGCTCGTATCTCTGGATAGTGGATACAAGGTTGAACAACGAATATTCGATCGCTTTATCGAACTATCAAAGATCGCTCTACCAAATATCTACCATTCCCAATTAAGCTTTTTAAAAACTTCCAAGACATAGAATATGCTATACGTTACAGTGATGTTTAATTTTCAAACATAATTCCGTAAATTTCACTTTATAGAATCACAAATGATGAATAACTCTTTCTCATACAAGTGATTCTAGATATTCACACTCTCATACTAATATTATGAATTTGAATGTAGTTTCGTCTGTTTCTAACCTTTTCACGCTTAAAACAATTAATGGATTTTGATAAAATTTGAGAATGGCAACATTTTAGGCAAACTATTTTAAAATAGTAATGATAAATATGATAGATAGGTATAAATATGATAAATATTGCAAAATTGGTCCTAAATTAAATTAAATATAACTAACTATATTACTTTTTAACTATAATAAACATAATTATGAAAAATAAAAGCGTCAACTTTCAAACCCAAAGCTTTGATTTAAGGATTATTTTTATAACAATAAGTAGTGAGACTTGCCGGCGGGGTTTCTGCTCGACACCAATTGAGTTACTTCGTAATGGGAAAAAGCCAATAGACAGTCCAATCTTCAAATTGTACTATCTATAAACACTGACAGCTTCTGAATTCTTCACGACGCTTCTACATGATTCTTGATTATTCTGGATGATTATGTGTTTTTGCATTCTGAATATATTTTCCATTGTTTCATTAAAGCGCCTTAGGTTCAATGAAATTTTTCATCCCGTTACGTATCGAGCTATTATAAAAATTTTATTTCGATTTACCTATATTACGCGGTTTATCAAACTTTTATGTTTACTTTTATTTGCCATGTTTTGGTTGGTTGGATAGGTTAGGTTAATTGTTGGTACATTTTGACGCTTAGTATGGAATAGATTTTTATCCAAAAAAAAATTTCATACATTTTTCCGATGTTTTAATACTATTATTATTTTTTTATTCCGCTATTCGGGGTGAAGGCAAATCCAACAAAATAAAGATCATAAAAATCGGTCCAGCAGTTCTCGAGTTATTATAAGTGTTGTAAAAAACCCGACTTTGTATTATATCTAGATATTATAATTTTTAATTAATTATTTTTTAATAAATTTTTGTATTGTCGTCGGTCCTTATTAAATGTGCAAAGTTTCAGTTCAATCTGAGGTTTCCGTTCGAAGTGGGCGAAAATGGCGTTCGAAGATAGCGTACATAGATACAAATGAAACTAATAAAAGCGTGTTAAAATGAAATAATAGATTTAGGAGAATATTTAACATTTTCAATAAAACTATCCTTTCGGATTTTTTGGAGTTTGACAGTTTCTTCTATGGCCATGATGGCTGAAACCAAATATTTAAATAAATCGGCGAAAAATCCGAAAAAATGGTTTTATTTTAAAGTTGAAATATGTAGCACATAAAAATGCGGAAAGTGCAAGATACCAAAAACGAGGCAACCGTGTCCGTAGAGGGCAATTGTTTACATAATATATATTTTAGCTTAGTTTCGATCTTTAAAGCTAGACAAAAAATATATTTATAAACTGTTTTTTTTTTAATAAAGTACACAATATAATAATGAAATGGCAAATGAAATTTAAAATCCAGGCCAAATAAATTGAAGAAAGTTTTGCGACCACAATCATTGTGTAAGTACGAACAAGGAAAAAGAAAATTAAGTTTAGAAATACAATCTTAGACCCTTGATTTAACTTTGGACTTGTTTATTTCATGAGAAATTAGTACAAGTAAATAAAATTAATCAACATTGTTCAATATTTTGAACTAACCTATAGACCTTTATTTTCAATTAAATTACCTAAACGAGGTATTTTTAAATTGTTCATTGCTACTTATGAGAATCATCGAATCAAGCAGTACCATTTTATCTTTTGCAAAATTCTGTTTCTATTAACCGTTATAATCTCAGTTTTAATATTTATAAAATTTGTTCCGAGTTTAAAGTAAACATGGAAATGTGATTTAACGAGGGAGCAATCTATTTGTTGCCCATAAAACCCGCGAGACTCGTTGCAAACAAACGCTAACTTTATCAGAATGCCCGTGTTGTAGTCAAGAATGCCCTAATCGGCCATTTGGTAGCGTTAAGCCCCTATTTATTATCGTAACTAGCGGAACACTATCGCTTTCTGTACGAGTCCGAGATCGTTTCTGTGTTTCTTACTAGCCATTTGTCTGTACCCTCTTACTAATTCAACCAAACGAGAGAGCTGCCGAGATAACAACTTTGTTTCGGAGATTACTGATAGAACTTCCTAATCGCTTTTCGATTATCCATTAGTGAACAAATAAAGACTTATAAATAGTTCGAAATATTCAAAAATATCAAACAATCTAACTTGAAAGAAATAAAGTAAGGAATAGTTATTGATTTCGAGATATACCAATTAAGCCATTACTACTGCTCAGATTTTAATTCCGTTCTTGTAGGTATATTTTATATTTATTATATTTTTTATTGCACTTAAAATATGATACAGAAAAAATAACAAAAATAAGCTTAGTTCACAAAGGTGGACTTATCTCTAAAAGAGATCTCTTCCAGTCAACCCCTGGATGTGGAAGAAGATGTCAGCGGGCAATATAGTGCAAAAAAAACTAAATATATACTAGAAATAAAAGTAATAATAATCACATATACATACATACATATATACATATACATATATTACTTATAAAAATATATAATACTATACATATATTTTTACTAGCATCTGGAAATATTATAAAATTACGAATGATGATATAATATGTACCAATTATTTTCTTCCATCCTATCATTACTGCTAAATGAAGGCTATTGATATTCCATTATAATGTCAAATTAGGAACAGAAACGGCAAAGAGTAGCGTTATAATGAAATTTTAGTTACATACAATGACTAGAATTTATCGAAAGATACTAAAGCAATATATAATATTCATTTTGAAAAAATATATTCAAATTCTTAAGAATAATATGAACAAAGAATTTAACCGTGCAAACTTGTAGTAATCCATACTTCCATACTAATATTATAAAAGTGAAAGTGTGTTTGTTTTTTTGTTTGTTTGTCTTTTTTATGTCGAAAAGGAGTGAAGGATTGACGTAATTTTTTGTATGGAGATAGTTGGAGATTATCTCCTTTCCACAGGAAAACACGTTATAATAAAATCCAAAAAAAATATTATGATCAGAATTACTAGAAACTTGGTATTAATGATCTTCAATTTAATTAAATAAACACGTGTTTTAACATTTTTGTAATTAAAATATTAATGGATAAAAAAGTAAAGACTAAAGAAAAAAGAAAAAAGTAAGTAAGAGACTGTTGGGAAATTTTAGGTGTATATAATATAGGGTCTTTAAAAATAACTTAGATGCTAACCTGTTAGTTGAAAAGGCCATATTAGCCGAGTTACATGATTCTAAAGTCGTAAACATTTTACCTATGAAAGTTATAACATTGTGCTCTCTTGCTCTAACTTTGCAAAGATGGAGTAGAAAAATGTGTCAAAAATAAAGATAGCAGAGTTTGCTAACTATTTTAAACGAAAATTAATCTTTATAAATATCTTTTAAGATGCTGGATATTTTGAATTACGTACACTAAAATTAAATTTGTTTTTCATTGTAAATATAAGAAATACAAGCTTATTTTTGCATAACTAAAGTATGTATCGTGGAAACGTAAAAAAATACTTTAGTGTGTAAGGAATAAAGATACTTATTAGTAAAAACAACATAATATTCGGCGGTACGGAACCTTCGATGCGCGAGTCAAAATCATACACACTCATTTGAAAATGTTTACAGCCATCAAATTAGTATTAGTTATAACATAAAGCCAAAGAGTATTTTTTTAGTAATTTCAACGCGGGCGAAGCCGCGGGTACTGCTAGTATTTATACAGGGCAATTTGTAATTTACTGAAAATCTTTTAGGTATATACTATTTACATCATAACAACAACATCTGTAACAAGAAAAAATAATATTTCTTAAATTTTTATTTTCATACAAAAATATATATTTTTTGCACCTTCTAAACTTTAAAGTTCTAGCATCTGGCCAAGTTTAAATGAGTAAGCGCGGCTTCCTACACCCCTCCACCCCTCCCCCTCCACCGGACACGCACTTTCTTTTGCTAATGCTGGACTGTTACCGTTGAGAAGGTGCAATAAAAATATTTTTATTTTTGTTAAATTTTAGATATATTATTTTTTTTACAGATGTTGTTGTTATGTTGTAAATAGTGTATTCCCAAAAGGTTTTCAGTAAATTAAAAATGACCCTGTATATTTTAAGGTTTTCTTATACTTGTATATTAGTTATTAAAATTACGCGTTAGTCTAGTAACTAGCTTAATATATTGCTGTAAATCAAGAGCTCTTGGGTTAAAATGTTGGGCTACAGATTTACTGAAATTTTCTGTCAAAATACCTTAGCAGCATCCCGAACTCAGGAAATGAATTTTGTAATATTTAATAAGTTTCTAATAAAAAATCCTTGAAGAAGTTGATATTAACTGTGGTTATTATTTTACTTGCGCCACTCCTTACATGCCCGGGGCAGGTATCCGATTATATTATTACGTATTCATATTATTATTGAATACATTGTTAAGCCTAAGAGTAGCTTTAGAAATTAATATCTAATGACTAATGACATATTCTATCTATAAAAAAGCTATTCATGACGAAAATTATTTAGTATTAAATCTAAAGTTAAAAAATGTAGTAGTGTAACTTCCATATTTTTTTTCATAGCTGACTATTAATAAAATAATATTCATTACTTACCAGATACTAATTTATATTGTTGGATATAGGTGTATTTGTGAACTAAAAGTAAAAAAGGTAATATATAATCAAACCTAAATTTAACTCTAAAAACCATTTTCATTAATTTATAAAATAATATCTGTGACTTGGCAGTCCAAGGAACAATTTTACTCTTGTTGCAGTCTATCTGAATTAATTATGAAAAACATAGGTAAGGTACATCAACTCATAAATAAAAAATTAAGTCTGAAGAAAAGTTGTTTTAAAAGAAATTATGATAATTACTATACGCGACTGCGGAGACTGAAAGTATTGGACTATTTACGAAATGAATTAGAAACTTCAACCACCCACGGTCTGCCTTATACAATAGACAAAAATATACACGGTTCAGAAAAGTAGGTACTTTTACATCACTTGAATGCTAACATTTGCCAGTATCAACTATCAAAATTACCCTAAACTTTTGTTTTACAGGATATTTTGGACAGCCAGTTTTGTGACTTGTTGTGCACTTGCTGTACTTTTGTTATATGTACAATACACACGATTTATTGTGAGTAGTTATGTTATTTTAGTCTGCTACTTACGGCTTAAGGCGCTTCTTGACTTTAATAAAAGAGAAAATACCCAGTTCGCGTATATGTTTTTTGCCTTTTGTAAACCGAGTTTAATAATTGAAATTTAAATGAATAAAAATGAAAAATTACATTTTAGGTTTAAGTCAGTGTAACTTTTAAATTGAAAATAATTATCAAATAACATTAAAGACCACTTACAACAAACCCTAAATTCATTCATGTCTTAAATAATACATATTTACCAATATTAACATATACATGTACAATAACAATAACATTAAAATTAATTATGCGGTTCAAGTGTTCCTTGGGTACCTAGATAGGATGACTTTTAGTTAATTTTAGTTTTTCATAAGTGTCAAATATGTCCACCACTTTATATATTTTGTATGGGACCTTACGGAAAACTTATCACAACTATAAACATTAAACATCCTTATAGTAGGGTGGTACTTGTATCCCCCCAACGTGCGTTCACCTTGTCGTGGTGGGGAGGCTCAGTAGTGCCCGGCGATCCAACCGGGCGCGAAGCTAAGAAACGCACAGGGAGGTTGCCCACTTCGGTGGGCGGTGGGAGGTGGCCCTCTTTGGGGGGCGGTGTACCATGCGGGTTGCTCCTGGTACTTCTCTGATAGCAGAGTGGATTGTGGAGCAACCCCATAGTTGTGGTGGTCTGCTTCGGCAGACCTGCCGTCGGGGCGTCGTAGTTGAATGCGCAAGCGATCCTGCGACGCCCCATTAAGACGGGGGAAGGTTTTGTTGGGTTTTAGTGGGTAGTACTGGCTGTATTACGCCGGTGAGTCCCACAAGTCGTGCGTAAATGCATTTCCCAACGTTAAAAAAAAAAAGAGTGGTACTTGTATGTAAAAAAACAAACAAAAAGCTTTAATAAAGGTGTTGTTTTAAGCCCTACTGTAGACTACACTATATTTTTAAGTACACTGTGGAAACTAAACAGTAATATTTAATATTGATATTTTAAATTTATAATAAAATAAAAAAAATCGTAAATAAGTACGTAATTAATTGCAGGCTGCGCCGACCGTGATGAGCGTAGAAATGAATTACTTTGATTGGAATATTTCCTTTCCAGCAATTACTCTTTGTCCACTTTACAAACCGGATATAATAAAATATGGTATATTTATTAAGTAAGTTATGCTGCATTTGGAACTCCGTTTGCATTTACGTTTGTTTTTATAAGTTAGGCAGTTTCAGTTAACAGTCGCCATGTTCAGATTTCGTAATTCGTAGAACATTATAGCATTTTATTTAAGATATTAATTACTACATATTAAAAATAAAAAAACGATAATAAATGATTATAATACTTTAAAGCCAAACCAACAAGGAAACGGGATTAAGGGTGGGCAGCTACATGTGGGCTATAACAGAAGCCGCCTTAGATACTGTACAATATATGGATTTAGAAATTCCAGAAGAAATAACATCGGTAAGGATCGATTATTATTAAATAAATTAGAGGAAATATGTTACTAATGTTTAAAAAAATCGCATAACACGAACTAGTATCGTAATAAGAATTGCCTGCCTATTGAAGAAAAAAAAGCGCGTTTATGGAGACGAACGAGCGGAAGCCGAACGAATATTTTGAACATCTTTAACATACACAAAATCAATTAATGACATATATTATACGCTTAATTCCAAAATAAAGTTATTAGTTTACTATTCAATATAAAAGTAGGTACCTACCTAACACTATTAAAGAGCTTGTTTCATTGTGAATAGCTAATACATCCGGAAAATTACACAAAAGTAGCGACTTCGATGTTCAGGAAATTTGGAGATAGTTCGCTGGCCACTAATACGAACTGGTCGATGAGTGTGGAGGCGGCTATGACGGAAATGGGAATGTGCCATGTCATTAATTCTAATGTTGCAAAATACGACAATCCTCGGTAAGCAATAATTTTAACATTAAATATTATAATTCATACACAAATTAAATTAACATATTATTTGATTTGTTAATGATTAATTCTATGGTTGTTTTAAGTTTCTATAATAATATCAGTGTAGGCTTAAATAACTTACACTTTAAGCAATTATTACTTTAAAAAAAAAAGTTAAAATAATATATCATATTCCTAAACAAGGAAATGAATGAAGAAAAAAAAACAAAAAGCCAGCAAGTACTTACGCGAGTGTACGAATATTTATGAGCTATATGACTTCAGCATATAAGGCTACAACACGTCATCCCATTTAGCTTCATTTTGCGTTCTAGGAAATGGAACGAAATGACTGCATATGTCAAAAACAATGTGGAACTTTCCGTGTTTGAAGTGGACTTTTACGCTCAGCTAACTAATTACGCACCTGTTTACAAGGTTTGTTCGTTCACGTTAAGTTAAGAACGCGATGTGATGAAGTTTATTTATTTAGATTAAAAAATATTGTTAATATTCCTACAGTCCAGTGAAATAGGGATTTAATCTACTGAGTCGAATCTGTACATTAAGTATTTCTTGGGAAATCTTATCGAAATGGTCATTATAATCGATGCAGAGGCCGAATCTATGGTATTTAAATTTTTTGTCTGTCTGTCTGGAAACGCATAACGAGTAAACCACAGGGCAGATTTTGGTTATCCGGGTCAACATATAGGATTCTTTTTAGTACGGAAAAATGTCTTATGTCTCAGAAATCTATACTAAACGTCAAAACGTAACTAGGGATAACCAGAGTGTAGCGTCGAGGGCGAGTCGCTAGTATCGAAATAAAAGGCAGTGAGCTATAATGTTGAATATAGGAACTTTTCTTTTTATATATTAGCTCAAGTCTCATATAGTTTTCAGGGTTCTGTACCCGAAAGTTGCCAACGGAACCCTATTTCTAAGCCTCCGCTGTCCGTCCGTCCGTCTGTCAGAGAGCTGTATATCATGAACCGTCATAGGTAGAGTTGAAAATTTCACAGTGTGTATTTCTATTGCCGTTATAACAACAAATAATATAAAACAAGATTTAGAATTTCAAAAAGGCTGTACGGAAACTTTCGTGTGCGATTCCGACTCGCACTTGACCGATTTTTTGGCTTTTGTAGTTAGGTAAATATCTTATATTCTTTGCTCAAAATGACATTTAATTTTATAAAGTTTATTTATAAATACTTTACTTTTATAGAAATCAAGTTACTTTTTTATTATAATTAACTCAAGCTCGACAGATTTAATAGTAACTATTGAAGAGGTCCACTCCCACCTCCTGGGTCCATCAGATCATTCATCAAGATACCAAATTAAATAATTGTCATTTTAACTATTTGTACATACAAATTTTGATTTGGAAGTAGGTTAAAATTGACTTCCAAGGTTTGATTAGGTACATACCTAGTTAGTTACAAGTAAAGCTAATAAAAATATTTTAAATTACCAGTGTATTTATATACTTACAGATTTTATCCAGTAATTATAGTATCTTCATTCCAGTACTGTTTCTTCAAGATTGAAGAATAAATTATTAAGTGTATGGTGCTGCTTCCTTGGTGGTCTAGTGGCTAGCATGTACGGCTCCAGATACTGAGGTCCTGGGTTCGAGTCCCGGATCGGGCCAAGTTTGATTATAGAAATGTTCTGTTAAGATAATCTCAGTAATAACCGGGAGTGGGGATGTTGGCGGTGCACCCCCGTGCCTTGGAGAGCACGTAAATTCGTCGGTATATAGTCCGGTAGTGTTGAAGTATCGTCATATCGTACTTTGAAAGTAAAAAAAATAGAGAGCGCACTTATGTCTGCGCGTACACTTATGCACTATAATAGCTCCTGCGCAACTCCCTAGTCTTAGTGATTGGCCGCCGTGGGCGAAATCGGTCAGGACATTTTAATTATTAAGTGTACCTATTGAGCGTTAGTGTCAAATAAAGAAATGCATTTTATTGTATTTACAGGTATTTATTCACAGTCCTGATGAAATCACAACTAGCACGACATCAACTTTTACCGTCGATGTAGAAGGAAGTATAACATTCGGATTATCAGTTTGGAGTAGTCGAATTTCAGAAGAATTACGATTTAAGTCTATACGCCTACGGAAATGCCGGTATTTATAGCTCAACATAATATTTACTGTAATTTTAAGATAACTATATCATTTCACGTTGAAATTGTTAGCTTTAATTTATTCTAGAATTTAATTAAGTATTATTTTATAAATAGCTTCCTAGGTGCTTCAATCTCATCTCTACTACATGTGAGTAGGTTAAACAGTGGTTTTTCCTTTAGTTTGTAATCGTTAAATTTAAGATTTTTAATGGAGACGGCATAACACTAGAAATTAAAACTACACAAACAGACAAAAAAATTAAAATATCTCCTGCTAATTTAGTCCATATGTTATACATATGTACTATCATACGTTTGTCGATTGACGAGAGAACATCAGATTTCCAATACCATACCTAATCAAAACTCAAGTGAAACAAATATTTGCAATGTTATTAATAATCGCAGCTTACCTATGTATATAATGATGACAATATTACTTTAGTAAAAAATATTACCTACTTAACATATTCTGAACTAACTTTAACTACCTACTTTGATCTATAATTCCAGCTTCATAGATGAGCCTACAAGTGAACGGTATCCAATTTATTCATACAGCCACTGCGTACTGGAGTGTAGAATTAAAATGATCAAGATGTTGTGCGGATGTATACCCCACTTTTACAAACCACTAAGTATGTCCATATGTAATATTGGTGTTAAAAAAATATTTTTACATAATGATTTTATTTAAACGTAACCTTGATTAATAGTAAAGCCAATTTGCACTATTTAGTAGCAAAGAACATAAAAGAATTTCTTGTAAAGCAACTAAAGCATTTGTGCCGACTGCCGAGAGCTATGGTTTAAAAAAAAATATCTTGGCATCCAGTTAGATCTCTGCTACTTTTATTATTGAAGCCGCTATAATATTACAGTAGCCGTTAGCTAGCACTTATCTTACAAGATCTGCTGTCATGAACTTGGCTTTCTTTCACATTTATGTTTTTAGTGACAGTAATATTTTAATGAGCCCTAAATCCTTTGTTAGTAAAATATTTTGCTAAATTTTTACAATAATTGTTTAATTCCTCGTGTTTACAGAACATGAACGCATTTGCCATATAAACGAATTAAAATGCGTTCGATATTATAGAAAAGAAATAATATCTTTAAGACCTTCTGAAAAAACTTTGAAAAAATTCAACTACGCCAAAGATTTACCAAGAACATCGAGTGATTGCGGCTGCCTCAGCACTTGTGAACTAGATTTATATTACAAAGACAACGAAGATTATATTCCTAAAACACCGCTGAACCAACTCAAAATAAAAATCACTTCATTTCCAAAAGTCAGAGTTGTAAGAGATATCATTTTTAATTATTATGATATTTTGCGTAAGTAAAGCATTTTATTCTTTGTTGTTTGTTTCACAAACTTTCTTTTGCTATATTGCAAGTAATAACCGGTAGGTAATAAGAAAAAGCAGTTATTTTTAAATACCCATTCAGCTTTGAAATAAAAAAATGCCTGATATATTATAAAATAAAGTATTATAGTTAAATGAGTGCAAAGGAATAAAAATAATTAGTAAATTCGCTATTATTATTATTATTCCTTAGCACTCATTGAACTTTAATACTTTATTTTATTACACGCTTTTATTTATTTTAACTTGCAATATATATGTTTGTCCGGGTGGAATCTATTTCTCTGCAACTCAATTTTGAAGCAGATATCTTCAACCGATTGAACTGAAATTTTGTATACATGTTTAGTTTGGATGACAATGCATAGCTAGCTGTGTGACGTCATTCTAAATCCAACATGGCGGAGCATCCAAGATGGCGTACTAGTTATTTTTAAATTTTAATGCACTCCTGCACTATGGGTATCTAATGAAAGGGTTTGTTGAGAATAATACGAATAAATAAAAACTAAAAAAAAAATTAATGGTAAAAAATATTTTTTTAAACAAGCTTTCATTTAAATGCTTTAAAAAGAAGAAAATAAGCCGTAAATTAAATCAAACCCAATAATTTATTACATTACACAATTTATATGATATAAAAGATTGTCGCGGGACTTACTTGTGTGGATAAACAAGAATATTTCTAAGAAATCTATTAGATTAAAACCATAAAAACTATTAATTTACTTTTGCTGATGTCCTTAAATTGTCTATCATAGTAGCACAGAAGACACAATTCTTATATACTTTACTAGGTAAATAATAGTACATATATTTTTTTTATTTCAGTGAGAAGTGGAGGAGTCGTGAATCTTTGCATTGGCAGCTCTATTATATCTATAATGGAATTTATCTTAGTGGCCATCAAAGTTTCTCTTTATTTATTAATAGGAACGCTTCGTGCGACATGTATCTCATTTGAATTTGCTTTTAGAAAAATGAAACAAATGATTAAGTAAAATTTATTTATTCAAGTAAATGTAAACTTAACATTAAACAAAGTTATACTTATCTCAATATAAAAATAAGTATCTTCAGCCCATATTCCATTGGACCCTGATCAGAGAACATCATCATCATCAATTCATAATATTTTCTTAGATTTACGTAAATATTTGACATTTTAAATTAAACTGTTTTTCGGGTTTTGCGCGAATTTAATTTTGATATTTGGTTCCCGACGTTTCGAATGCTTTACAGCAATCATGGTCACGGGAGAGACTCATCACTCAAGAGATCACGCATGCCGCGTTCTGCACTATAATATCCCCCGCGCAGATGGCTAGTCTGAGACTAAGTAGTCTCTATGAGATTGGCGGAAGAAGATTATTATTATGTTCGATTTATATTAATGTACCGGACGTTCTCATTGGTTGTCAATAAAATATGATATCAAAAATGTGTTTAATTTATTTATACACATAGCAATTGGTTTGTAATGAATAATATTATATAATGAGCTTAATGCTTTAATTCTTCTATAATAATTCAGTCTCAAGTTTCCTGTAACATGGCAATGAACTATTTTTCTACAAATATCTTTAGTGTTCTTTAGTGTTATCTCTATGTAATAGACAACGTGATAAAATATTTACACACAACAAGTCCTATGACTAAAATATTCAAATTTAAAATCGGAATTCAATTGAATTGCATTTCAAATTCCTTCACAATTTCCTCATTTCAAACCACTTGTCAACCGATATTTACTGGAATTTGTATTCGAACTTTTGGTACCTACGTAATTTTAAGTTTATAATTTTTACAAAAGGCACATAACAAATACTGTTCTGGACTATAAATGTGGATAATTTTAATTAAAATATAATAACTAGAGTTAATATTAAAAGGAAAATGAAGGCACACATTATTCGATGCAAAATTAATGATTGTATTTATGTTCTAAAATAAATATAATATGAACCCTTAAAGTTAAGAGAAAGAGTATTGTCCCTAGCAGTGTTAGACAACGTCCGAGACCACGTTTTCAATGATAAATATTTAGTCTTCAACTGGGTACTGCAACTTATCAGTGTAATATCATACATTGCTCTTATCTAAATCTTTACAGCCATATTGAAGAAAAAAAACCTGAAAAGAAATACATAATACATATTTGTAATTGTTAGTGTAAACTTACAGTTGAATGTCAGAATACTCACATTTTAATTATACATTAATAAGAAAACTTGTTGTAAAGCTTGAGAGTTGAAAAAAGAAAACTTCTTTACGTGTCATACTCTCCTTTCACTTATCTATATTACACGTCTGGTATTGCTGCAATCCTTGCACAACTACACAAATCTGAAAAATAATATTTTACTTACTAACATCTCAATTTATTATATCTTAAGTAGACAATATTTTAGATAATTTAAATTTACCTTTTGCCCCATTTAGGTATCCTGTTGTATAATTTTCCCTACATCCTTATTGTTTGTATATTGTCCACCATTTGAAATATGATCATTTACTTTATACATCGAGTTCCATAATTCAATATCTTCGATCATCTGAAAGTCATAACACAAATTCATAATGGTCATTGCAGTTTGTTTTAAAATATTTAACGAAGATATAAAAAAAAGTATTATTAATTATTCACTATCGATCAATAGTCAAAATGATTAAAAAAAATGTGAATTTCAAGGATGGTCAGAGAAAAAAAGTGTCGTCCAAAATTGGTGAGAGGAATACGATAATGTCGCAGACCAATCAACCCAATATATATTGCCAAATCCCAGCAACAGTGAGTCCATCAAATTTGAGCATTCTCTATAAGATATTATGCCCAATATTTGTCAAGAAAGTAAACAATACGTAGTGGAGATCCATGCATACCCAACCAAACAAAAACTCCAAATTCGACTTACGCACTTACCATTAAACCAACACGATGCCAACACGAGGCGACAACCGAGCGTTATTTATTCAGTATCGATATTCTTTCTTCAAATTTTGAAACGTTGAGATGAACGACGTTGCACCTTTGGTCCATTACCAAAATGAAATATTTTCCAAAGTCCATTCCTCTAAACAACGCTTAACATTCACAAAAAAAAGTGTATCATAAAAATTATATTTGACGTAGAACTGCGCACCCACCTCGATTAACAATTTAAGAAATTTTAAGTACGCTAAATATTACTACCTACCATGATTTTTTTAGAAGGAAAATTTCATAATCCAAACATGTATTTCAACCAAATCACCTGTCGTGTTATCCCCACAGCACATGATATCCGACAATGACATGATACAGCCCAGAGTCCCAGTTGTAGATAATTACTGATTTTTGTTCTAGCATTAAATAATACAAAATAGCTTGAAATCTCATTCAAATCTTTAATGAAATTTGTATGTATATATCAATATACAAACTATATAATCAGCATAAAAGAAAACCGTTTCATATAATTGACAATTTTATTCGATTTTTGCACCAATATCAACGCAGCATCTCGTAAAACGTCCAAGGCTGAAAATTTACGTCATAAAATTGGCTTAGCAATAAAGCTTCTAGCAGTTTGAGCTACGCCCACTTAATGGTTAGTATGATTCCAACTAAGGGATTTTTTCCGCTCAAACAGCCACTCACAATTCCATGACGTAACACGTTAAATATAATAGAAACGTTTGTAACACAAATAAAGCAATATAGGCATATATTTATAATTAATTTGCCAGTAGAAATGAGGTAATATCGAGTCATCGCTTGAAGCTCAATGAACTGTAGACAGGACGAATAATTCAACACTGTTATGGTATTCATTTATTGAAGTTTATAGATTGCATGTTATTTTCACAAACAATGACAAGTTTAAAAGCATCTGCTACAGAAACTACAATCGACGTCACAAAATAAAAGACAAGACGGAAAACGATTACATAAGAATTACTCCCGACGGAATCACCTAATAGACGAAACTTAATATTATGAGTGCTTTACGAGCGTGAGCTTATACTTCCGAAACGTCTCCAATCGCCGATTTGGCACAACCAAAGATTTTATCCTTACATTTAAATGCAACTCGTTTACTCGAGGACCGTGAGATGAAGCGCGGGACATCTACACTAAATTAATCTAAGTAAAACTTTCGTCGAGAACTTAAAAAAGTGGCCAAAACACGTAGCGATGTATGTAAGACGATGATGAAATCAGTTTCCGACCAACAGACCGACTTCAATACCATATTCCTGAAAGCACAAAAACAATTTATTTTACCCAACGCTTTTGGGAAATTTCAGATTTAATACATCCTACTTGGATACAAAAAATATGTTCTTTTTTCGAAAAACTTAATGAACCTTTATATAAAAACTTGTCAAAGGGATTTATTAGAGACATTTCCGCCTACAACAAACATCAAAAAATACCTGGTTTGCTAAGATAAAAATGTTTTTTTTTTCTAAATACTTAAAATTTTGAAAAAAATAAACAGGAACAGGCTATACGATGAGAATTGAATTCGACAGATTTTACTATGTATAACCTTCTTTGTACACATAAGTAAAACCTTTTTTTTATTATATTTATACGTTAAAAGGACATCACAGGAAGGCAGAAAAGACACAAATTTAATAGAGCGAGCAATTATCTTGAATTCAAATTACATTTTAATGTTCGACTGATAACGAAAAAACCAACGTTGCCAATATTAATATTTTTATAAGAAAAAAAATATACCTTAAGATATAGGTACTTTATCAAATATAATAAAAAAATATTTTTCCGTCTATAGCTTATATTCTTAATTATTTATTGTGAATAAATCCAACATCATTCTTTGTGTACAAAAGATCAGTAAGAGGCCACGGGTAGACCCACTTACGTGTATGAGCATTACTCTTAGGACCATATTCATAGAAGTCAACAAAAAAAAATTACTTAGTAACCGCAGAATGATACTCAATTGTATCGAATCATCAATTTAACATTACATACATGTCTACGAAGATTACCTACAATATACATCTCTACGAAAGCCTGTTAGATTAAAATGAAAAACGAACAAAAATATACATCACTACATGCAACTAATTTTCGATTAAAAATGTTTGTAAAAACAAAAACAAAAATGAATACAAAAAATATTATTTACAAAAGTATTTTAATTACCTTATACATTGCTCTAAAAGAAGCGGACATCGATAGTCCTGCCGTCGATGCGAGTCCTGTCAAACATTTCTGAACAAGGTGTTAAGGAAAATTAGTGTCAACATGCAATGTGATCTCGAAATCAATCATTAATCTATACTAATATTATGGAGAGGTCAAGTTTGTGAGTTTGTGAGGTAGTAGGCGGTAATCTCTGAATCTAGTGAACCGATTTAGATGATATTTGGTAAAAAGATAGTTTGAGGCCCTTGGAAGGACATAGGATACATTTTATTTCGGAAATCATATCTTAAGGTGGTAAAAATGGGGATGAAAGTTTGTATTGGGAAGCAAGCTAGGGACGTACCCGAGCCAAGCGAGGGTGAGTCGCTAGTAATAAGATAAATCAACATTAACATCTTGATGACAGTGGTAGCCCAGTGGTAAAGCGCTCGCTTGGGAAACCGGGTGAAGCGGATTCAAATCGCGAGTCTCGCACTTCTAAGATTTTCGTGTGCGATTGATTTCCAATATGATTACAACTCGTCTTACAGTAAAGGAATCGTGAGGAAACCTGCATGTCTGAGAAAGCCTACTAAGCTTTCGAAAGATATGTGAAGTCCGCCAACCCGCACTCGGCCAGCGTGGTGGACCATGGCCTCATCCCCCTCGTATTGAAAGGAGACTCATTCACTCATCACAACATTTTGATATAAATTCTTTAAAAAAGCGCGTAAAAATAAAGAGTTTTAATATAACATTTTAAACTCAACAAATCTATAATTTGCAAATAAACATGGGATAAGCAATCTAATCTATGCATCTATCTCAATACATAATATAATGTTACATATTATGTAACAATAACACAAAGACGATCTTACTCGTCAAACTCCTGTACGAAAACTGAAATTGTAACGACGGAACCCACCCGAGCCGCCTCCCGCGCACTCGCGCCGTTACAAAAGGATACTGACAGCTCTCTCAGCGTCCCACTCCTTGTGGAAGCGCACGATGGCGGTATCGGCGGCGGTCATCTCCGCGAACTTCACGTCGCCGCACTCGCTGAACTTCTCGCGTATTAACTGCCACGTCACCGTTGGTGGGAGCTGAACAAAAATATTAAATTAGGTACCTACACCCCGAAAGAGTTTAACAGAATATTTGACACTTATATTTAATATTATAATTTCGGTATATTTTGCACAGATTTATTTCGATTTTTATTCTAGAGTTAAGGTTTTTAACGTCTCAAAAGTCACAGTTATTGCGGACGATGTCTGCCCACGAGAATCATGTTTACACAGATGCAAACTGTAACTATACCTTCGAGACATGTAACACCTCAGTCTCTCCCGTGACGTGGATGCCGTAAAGCATTCGAAACGTCGGGAGTCAAAAATCAAAATAAATCCGCGAAATAATCCGAAAAGATAGTTTTATTTAAAAAGCTATTGAAGTTAGTAGATTATAACGGTAGAAGATAAATTAATTTATAAAAAATATTCGTAAAATACAAACTATAAATATACAAGACGAACACAGTCAAGTGCAAAAGTTAGTAAGGCAAACACTTACATTAGTAATAATGACCATATCGGACTGCTTGTCGCGCGCGGGCGCCGCGTCGCGCCCGTAGCCCTGCCCCGGCGCCGGCGCGCCGCCGAGCTGCCGGCTACCTGCGATATGCACCACTTTACAGCAAACACTACTACGGTCAGGTTAGGTTAACTTAAGAAGTAGAAAAAATATCTTTTTATTTTGTACTAGCGAGTTACGATCGCTTCGCTCGGGTTCGTCCCTAGCTTGCTTCCCGATACAAACTTTCATCCCCATTTTCACCCCCATAAAGGATGATTTCCGAGATAAAAAGTGTTCTATGTCATCCCCAAGGCCTCAAGGCGAAACTCTACAAGAGTTTTTATATGTGGGGTTTCGTTTCGCCTCTAAATGTTAAATGTAGCTCTGTCCATTTTGTGTTCTGTACATGCATATTATATACAAAAGATTCGATTTATGAACTGATTAAAATGAAACAAATAGTAAATGTTAGAGAAGCTTACCACAACACATTAATGAAAACCGTACCCAAATCGGTCAAGCCGGACACAGACAAAAATTCTAAACATCATTTGTTTTTAGTTGTATTGCATCTATAAAGACCCCCAATCAGTTTTCTCGAATATCTTCCATGTACAGACAGCGGTCAGTTACACTTTTATTATATGTATAGATTAACTAATAATTATATTTTTAACTAAATTTCAAATATGGAGAACCTAAAATTGATAGTAACCTATACATATAAATAAAATTGAATTATCTATTATAACATCGAAATAAAAGCGTTTTACTAAATGCATATGAAATTATTACATAAAATGATACATAGAAGAAAACAATCATTTTTTTTGTCTGTCAGTTTGTTCCAGCTGATCTCCGAAAAAGCTGGACTGATTTTGACGGGACTTTCACTGGCATATAGCTGAAGTTATAAGGAGTAATTTAGGCTACTTTTATTTTAGAAAAAGAATTAGTGTTCCGCTCAAAAAAAATTAAACGCACCGAGGGACACACCCGAGCGAAGCGAGGGTAAATCGCCAGTTAACAATTAAAAAAATACAAAAAAATAACGAAAAATAACAAAAAAAATATATAACCCAGTACATACAAAATTATTTTACTGAAAAAACTCTTAATTGAAAGTGGCTTAGAAAAACATAATTCCAAAGTAATTGTTAAAAATACCTGAATGTGGTCCGCTGCTTAAAGTAGTATTTGGTCCCAATACATTATTACTAAGGCCGCTATTGCCCATAACATTTGATCCCAAGTCTGCAGAGCTTAGACCCATGTTGTTACTATTTACATTTGCAGCTTGTGCTTGTGATAGTACTGTTGCCAGATCGTTCGCTGTTAAACCTTGTTGCAAAAGCTGGTTTTGCAATGCTCCCAAACCTGTAAGTCCCAACGCCTGAAATCATACATAAAGTATTAATAGTAATTCAATATATACTTTACTGGCGAATCACCCTCGCTTTTCACCCCCTTAAGGGATGATTTTCGGAATAAAAAGTATCCTATGTCCTTCCCAGGATCTCAAACTATCTTCTTACCAAAATTCATCTAAATTAGTTTGGTAGATCCAGAAATTACCCCCTACAACATCACAAATTCACAATCTCACATACTCACAAACTTTACCTCTTTATAATATTAGTATAGATTATATTTTATGCTTTAAAAATAGTCAGGGTATAAGGTTTAAAGTACTTAATAAATCATTAATAATTAAATACTAATTTGGTAAACACCAAAACAATTATGTTATCAAACTTATTTCTTTACAATACAAGTACTTATGGGTATAATATACACCTAAATATCTAAGCTGTTTAATTAGGCACTTCTTTGTATTCTTTGACAAACAATAAATTTAATTAAATACCAATAACAATAATATCATTTTCATTAAATATAATAAAATATAATAATACCTGCAAACTTAAGCTTCCACTCAATGCTGCATTTGTTCCCAGAGTATTTGCTGACAGACTAGTACCAAGACCATTAAGGGCCACACTTGCTGTCGGTACGGCACCTAACACTCCTGCTCCAATTGTAGTACCAGTATTTGCCAAATTCAAGTTATTTGGGGCAGAATTCTGTGGCAAATTCCTTGCTACATCTCTCAATGGAACTCCATTTGGTCCCAAACCAATGCCAATACTTTTAAGCCCTTCAGGTAGCCTCACTTCTGTCTTATCAGATACACCTCTGTCCATACGAACAGTCATTCTTCTATCATATAACATCTGCTTATCAAACATTGATATTGCCTGAAAAATTAGCACATTATAAATAAAAATGTAAATAAAAAGGGCAATAAAATATTAAGTTCATTAGAAAAATTTTTTTTTTTAAATCTCTAATGATTCTTCATTGAATTATTCTAGCCAATTTTTTTATACTCTGTGGAGTTATCAATATATATTAATCAACTTAGTGGCCATAGAAGATCATATAAAACATCACACTTCAACTTAAACAGATCAGATAATAATAAATATTCACTAGCTCATGTCCAATATGGTAAACAGCTTTGTGGACCACTGACATAATATTCCATTCAAAGAGCTACTACAGCAGTTGCAACAATATTTCGTATCTACTCATTATCCACACTGAGACTTACCCTCTCTTCCCTCAGATTCATCCCTGAGTGCCTAAAAGTAGCCTATGTATACTAAATTAATCCAAAAAATTCTAGCCTTTTCATTATAAACGAGAAAGAAATAAATACACACAAATACAATTATAATAGTAAATTGATTTAAAATTACTACTATAAATACACTTACCTGCACAGCTTCGACTGGATGATCATATTCAATAACAGCAAATCCCCGACTATTGCCATCCTTATCCACAGCCAGATCAATGTTACGAACTTTACCAGCCATCTTAAATACTTCTTTTATTTTTGCATGGTCAGCTTTGTAGTCAAGCTAAAGATTGTAATGTTAGAAGGCATTATAGATACTACATATTAAAAGGGTCATAAAAGATTCAATTCAATTTTCTTGTTAAAAGCTTCAAAGTATGCCAATCATAAAAGATAAGAAAATATGTTATTCTTATGATAGAAATATATCAATTAAAGCAAAATGTTGTCAAATCAGTTATGATTATATTAATAATGTGTATGTAATTCAACATTTTATATACACTAGTACTTGGGCTACCAAGCTTCACTTGGAGTTTTTGGCCAAAAAAATATTTAAAAAAATTGAATAAATACAAAAAAAAAACAAAAGTAAAAACTTTGTATCCCACCGGGATACGAACTCAGACACCTGTGGTTGTCACATGACAAACTTGCGCCTTGGCCGCTTGACCACGATGCTTATGCCCCAGCGTGCAAATTAGCGACCATATTTTGCGTGGAATAATGCGAAACAAAACCGCATGAAAACTCGAAAACATGCGTTTTCCCAGACATAAGACTAATCTAGATCGATCTATCGCCCCCAAAACCCCCAGTGTGCTAAATTTCATGAAAATTGTTGGAGCCATTTCCAAAATTCAGATTATATACATATATATAAATATATATACAAGAATTGCTCGTTTAAATATACTATAAATAATATAATGACTTACATTAGCAACAAACACTTTCTTAACTAATGGTGGCTGTACATTTATTGACTCCAGAAATTGTAGACTCAGTCCATAAGTGTTATAATTTTCTGGCTCTCGTGGCTTATTAACTCCCCAACTAAAAATAAAATTAAAAACTCTATATGCAATCAATTTCTTTTTATAGTTATTTCCAACTGACTTTGTCAATAACACTTAATTATTAAAATTCAATTATTATATTTCTTTAAAAATATTTATAACTTTAACATACCCATCTTTGTCTTCTCTCATGTTTCTTCCACTTCCACCACCTCCTGATCTTGAAGTGTTAAGTCTATTTCTTTCATTACCTTAATATATAACAGAAACTTTTAATTAGCTAATTTACAATTTTTGTAAATAAAATTTATATCAAATATGCAAAATAATACCAATTAGCGACTTTATCATATTTGGCATATATAATGATGATAATTCAGCATACATATAATACTTTCTACTTTGGTAGAGGAAGAAAAATATGTTAATTTACACCAACATAAAGAACACAACTAATATCCTGGCTGATGTTTAGTATATGGGATGTGGCTCCTGGAGTAACAGATTGTTTTCAATATAAGATACTTAAGTAAAGGAAAATATAAGAGAATTTTAAGGGTCAAAAGTACTGTAGTCATTAGTCGTCAGTAATAGGCAAGTTTTTTAAGCTACCATAATCTTCATATTCTCAACCTGTGCTAGTATTGAAAGAGGCAGTGTCTGTATGTTTGTTAGAATGCACTAATCTTAGTAACTACTAATCCAATTTGAAAAATTCTTTTTACATTAGATAGCCCATTTATTAAGGAAGGCTGTAAGCTATGTATCATATAATATATAGTCTATCTATCCCATACGAACCTTTAAAACATACCTAAGGACTAGCCCGAACGAAACAAGGGTGAGTTGCTAGTTAAGAATATGAAAGAAGGAAAAAAATCCTTTCTATCTCCACAAATAATTTAATTTTTTTAGAATCCTAAAAACTTCCATTATTCAAAAATATAAGCCACTGCTTGAGGGGCAAGCTCTCATATATTAAATTTTTGCCAAAACTTTTAATACCAGATTGTTATTCTAACTAAATTTTATCTAAACCACACTGCAATTAATACTAAATAATAATTTAATTATGTTGTGTTATGATTGAGGAATCAAACATATATCTTATCATGATAGAGATTGTTTAGCCACTCACCAGTTTCTTCCTTTAACACAAGTTTTCTCCCATTAAGTTCATATCTGTGCATAACAAAAAGAGCTTTTTTCATGGCTTCCGAATTTGTAAACTCTACGACACCACATCCCCTAGGTTTTCCATTCTCATCATTAAAAAGTTCTACATAAGCAACATCCCCAACCTAAAAAAGAACAAAATATTTGTTTATACACATTTGTATTTATAAAAATACGTAAGAACAGTAATGTGTAAAAATAGTTTTTCCTACTGACGAGAGTGGGAAATGATGTTACAGAACTTAGTTCAAATAAAACTGTTCATTCTAATAATAATATTGTTAAAAATTTACCTTTTCTTTAAATAAATCTTTCAACTCGGTCCAACGGAATTCATAAGGTATGTTTGAAACAAATAAGCGTTTTCCATCCGACCTTTCTCGATCATTGGATCTATCTCGTGTAGCATCTGAAAATCTTGATGGTCTATCTCCTCGTCTGGACCGATCTCTTTCCTTCTCTCTTTGATTATCCATTACCAAATCTGTTAATAACTTATGTTATTATTATTTTAATATTAAAGTGTTATTATTTTGATATTATGGTTACAATAGTATAATCGCCGGCATACTTTGTTACCGGTCTAACAACGTATAAATGGTAATGAATCCAAACAACAGTCAAAATAACAAATTACTTACCTTATTCAGTTAACTACTTTTGATGAAAAATATTAACCCAAATAGTCTTTAACTTTTCAACAATAATACAACAAGGATATAGCGATTACCGCCAAAACATTTGCCTTTCAGTATAGTTCAAGATATGACAAAATGGCGTCGAGGTTTGAGGCTTGAGCTAGAGGTGTTTTTAACATAATACAGATAACTCAGTAACTGATATAAGTTACATATACCTATCAACATAGTACTTGAAAAGTAAGCTATCAAATAAATATATATTTAATTTGTATAATAATTTAACCAGCATTGACTTAAGTGAAAAAATTATAAAATGGGAATTAAATATCTACCAATTCTTTTTTTTTAACATATAATTTCACTTTATTTAAATAAACTATTCAAAAAGTTATTTAAAAAACGATCATGTTATGTTACAATTTCATTTTTTATTCATTGAACTTTACTGAATCAAATCAATTTTCACAATTTTCTTTGCAATTTTTACCTACATGTTTATTTTTTATGATTAACCTTTTATGTTCTGGGACTATCGATACGATAAATCATTCTTTAGTATATGATACTGGATACATCCCTAAAACAAACATGGCGCGACAGTCATTGCACGCACGCACACATGTATAAAGTGCTTATATCCTTATACATTATTTTATCTGTGATTGTATTGCTTATGTATATTTTTCGCCTACGATAGCCATGCAGGCGAACTCTGATATATTATTATTTAATAAAACAGTTTAAAAAAATACCAATTATGGAACAGACTAAAGTTAATTCACCTCGGCTTTTTGTGTGCACCGCCATAGAAAACAAGGATGAAATAGAAGAGGTAGTGTGTTCATTTTCACAGTTTTCAACAAAGAATCATTTTGTCGGCCATGTAAAATCATATTTTTCTTATTAAGACGATGGCGGCGCTGCAGTCTATGGCGCGAAAATTCAATTCCTCTAAGTTTATAACTTGTGGTCTACTAATTTATTATTTTTACTTTCAGAGATATGAAAGAGCTTACAACTTTTTCCAATCTCTCGTCGCGGACTGTAGTGAAAAAGAAGCTCATGACGCGCTTAACAATGCTGTATGTAAAAATCATGAAGACGTGTCACTTGGAATGCTCATGTCCATTCTCACTGAGCCTCACAATGCTACTAAATGTTATAGAGATCTTACTCTTGTGACCAGAGATGGATTAACATGCGTACTTAACAACCTGTCCAATTTGATCTTAGAAAGATATCTAAAATTTCAAGATACTACCCGGAATCAGCTGTTATGGCTAGTAAAAGAAATGATAAGAAATGCAGTGACTGGTGTCGATAGTGTGTGTTGGAATTTGATGCGATATGCATCAGGAGGAGATATTACTCCTAAAAATATTTTCTTAGTAGAATCTCTTTTAGATATTTATATTGACAATAGAATGTGGCTTGATAAATTCCCTGTGCTTGTGTGTATGGTAGTATACACATATTTAAGATTAATAGAAGATCATAATATACCACAATTAATGACCCTTAGACAAAAGGAAGTCAATTTTGTTATTGCTCTTATTCGAGAACATTTTAATGAAGTCTTAACCCTTGGAAGAGACTTAGTAAGGCTACTACAAAATGTTGCCCGCATTCCTGAGTTTAACCAGTTATGGCAAGATATTTTAATAAATCCAAAAACATTATCCCCTACATTTACTAATGTCATGCAACTCCTACAAACAAGAACTTCCAGACGTTATTTACAATCAAGATTGACACCTGATATGGAAAGAAAATTAGTATTTTTAACATCTCAGGTTAGATTTGGACATCATAAAAAGTATCAAGAGTGGTTTCAGAGACAGTACCTTGCCACACCAGAATCTCAATCACTCAGAAGTGACATGATTCGCTTTATAGTAGGGGTTATACATCCTACAAATGAATTGTTATGTTCTGACATAATTCCAAGATGGGCAGTGATTGGATGGCTCTTAACCACTTGTACATCAAATGTAGCTGCATCAAATGCTAAATTAGCTTTATTTTATGATTGGTTGTTTTACGATCCTGAAAAAGATAATATTATGAATATTGAACCGGCGATCCTTGTGATGCATCATTCAATGAGATCACATCCAGCTGTTACAGCGACTTTACTAGATTTTCTTTGCCGGATTATTCCAAATTTCTATCCACCATTTGCTGATAAAGTAAAACAAGGTATTTTCAATTCTTTACACCAAATTATAGAAAAAAGAGTATTGTCTAATTTGCAGCCCTTATTCGATTCACCTAAACTAGATAGAGAATTAAGAACAACAGTAAGAGAAACTTTTAAAGAATTCTGTGTCAATGGAAATGGAGAAGGTGTATCTGGAATTCATGTTGAAGGCACTGATGACTTACCCAGAGGTGGGCCCGATGAACCAGCATTTTCTGATGATGAAGATGATCCTCCACCGATTATTGCAGAAGACACTGATGATGACGATCTACCATTGTCAGAAGTTCGCGCTCGCGAAAGGCCTGAATTGGCGGCTGCCTTGCCACTATTATTACGGCCATTTGCTGAGACATTGTTAGATGATCGATCATCTTCAGCGGCCACTGCATTATTGAATGCGTGCACCACTCCAATGCCGACTCCTACGGCTCTTGCAGATTTGTTCGCAGCAACACTGCAAGAAGCGCCTCCATTACGAATTACACGTAATCCATCTCCAGCAGAACTAGAGGACGCTCTAAATTCACCAGTATTTTCAATGTTTAATTATCTTGTTCGAGGTGGTGATATCACAGAAGCAAAGAGAAAATTAGTTTTAGAAACATTTAAAGAAATTTATTCACAGAATTCTGTTCACAGTGTAGGTTACTGCTTATTGTTCTATCTGAAAGTATGTTATGAAAGGGCTCGACGTGCAGAGCGTGATCCAGTAAAAAAAAGAAATGTTAAATTCAAAGCTGACATATATAAAGAGTATTGTAGTTACTTAGAGTTGAAACTTGCTGAGAGTTTAGCAGATGACTTTGAAAAGTGTCAAGAATGTGATGCCAATGTACTTGTCTGGTTGATTCCAGATGTTTATAGAGAGTTTAAAGACCAGGTCCAAAACCACATCAGATTGTTACATATAATTGTGTCTACATTAGACGCAGGGCAGTTGCAAAAACTTGTATGTCTAACACTACAAGGCAATTTAATGATGTTTAAATCTGATGATATAACAACTATGCTTTCCACTAGTCTTGGATGGGAAACATTTGAACAGTATTGTCTCTGGCAACTTCTAACAGCACATGAAATATCAGTTGAAGATGTACTGCCAATAATTCCTAAACTGTCTTATAAAGATCATGCCGAAGCTCTGACATCTGTACTTTTAATGTTAAAGCAAGAGCGTCCCACAGCAGATGTACTAAGGCAAATGTTTTGCAGAACGCTTGATGAAGAGGATACATTTGTTGTTTCAACAGTTATGTACTGGTGTCAGGACTATGAAGACAAAGTTGCAGACTTGTTAGCTGTTTTATTAAGCTCAAGATACCCAGGCACTAGTCCCAATAAGAGAAAACGTCCTGGAAAACATAACATTCCACCAAACGCGCCACCTTCGGCAGAACTAGTTAGTAAACTTTTTTTATATATAAATATAATTTATTGAAAAATTACCTTTTGTTAGGTACACTTAAATATATTTAAAAAAAAACATTAATTTGTATAGTAACCACAAATGCTTAAAAATAAATGTAACTATAAACTAAATGATAACAATTCTAGAGTAAACTAGTTGTAAATAAATTAACATATAATTTTCCTTTCAGATTTTAGGTCACTTAGATCAAATAAGAGCATGTTGTGTTGAGCAAGATGATATGTCAATTTTTAACATGGAATGTATACAGAAAGCTCTACAGCAGTCACAGTCGCATAGTAGTGATAGTTTAAAGGTTTGTAAACTTTATCATTCATTCAGTATTGGTAAGAATAATTATAGCTAATTTATATATAATCTATTGGTTTTCTATTTTGTTATGTATTTATAATTATTAAGAACTTAATGATTATAAACAAAACATATTTATTTTTAATGTTTCCTATTTTTTATCTTTGCAGAGACAATATAGTGATCTGTTTTCATTAGCTTGGGAAGATGAACTTCCTATTTCAAGAAGAGCAAGAAAATTAGTTTCAAATTCATTATTAACTATTAATCCTAACTTACATTCATCAAATGAAGATAGTGAGGTGAGGTTTATTATATTACTTATGTATAAAATAATTCTAGTATTTTTTTAAGTCAAGACATATTTAATGAAAAAAACAACACAATAGAAACAATGTTATCTATTATAAATTACTATTTATTTATAAGGTACAAAATGAATATGGTAGTAGTTTTTAAACAAAATAACTATCATAGCATGTTGTAAAAACATATATTTTTTTTAGGAGGAAGAAATTGTTAAACCAAAACAAGCCAAGCGACGAAAGAAAGCTATATCAGATAGCGATTGACATATCTCATCGAAAAAATATGGTAATTTTAAACACCAAAGTGCAACTGAACAATACAATAAATATAAATATGTGTAAAAAGACACATGTTTGTTACCTTGTGTGGGGGTGCAATTCTAAGAATAGTACCTTACTTTCTCATATTCTCTTTGATGTTTATGTAAACTACATAATATTACTGTGTAATATTACTGTTATTCGTGAAATTATAGTTTTGCCACAATTAAGTCTTAAGTTACTAAACCCTGTAGGTATTTGCACCTAACATCTAGGTATAGTTGATGTCAAATTGTAGAAAAATACTTATAATTGTATAAATTGCCTTATTATTTTATTATATGATGCACAACTATCAAGGATTCGGTGATGGACTATGTTAAGTATTTTCATTGTAAATTTTGTCTTTAATAATTGTATAAATACCATATTGTTATATGTTTTTTTTTTCACACATTATGTTGAACTTATTTTAAATGTAAGGTATGAGACCAAGAATTATATTCAAAAGATATATTGTATTGATGCAATTTTCGAAATACATTTTACACTAGGATCAATAAAGTATTTCCCCTAAATACTTTGCTTTCATTAAGTGGTTTCCATTGTTTGTTTAATCTATATTCCCTGCTTTTAAAAACCTATAATCCATAGACTATATTTAAAAAAAAACTGATTTCATGCACTCTTATGTGCATAATGCATATTAACAATCATGTACACTAGATATTTTTTAAAGGAATTTATGTTGGAAATTATAACACCATACACTTAGCCACTTATTTTAGTCAGTATATTTTGAGGTAATATTTTTATTTTATTTATTATAATTCTCACAGCAAGAGGTCTTTTCCCCAAATTAAGCTAAATCAAATATTAACTTCTATAAATTAAGATTTTATAATTTTTAATTAAAACAAAGTATGGGCAAAATTTTCTTTATTTAATAAATATCCTTGTATATTTATTTGGAATCAATGTATCAAGTCTTTAGTCACTTTTGGATACCTGACTATCAATACACATCTATAATATGGGGTAAGTACAAGTACATGTTTTATACTTGGCAAGATTTTCAAAGTAAAGTCAATTAGAAAATCTAATAAAATGATTTGTAGAACTTAGCCTAATCCACACCATAATATATATTACATAAAACCATAACAATTTGTATAACTATAAAATAGGGCAGTTTTCATAATCAACTAAAGTTTTCCCTGCTTATACCTTTGTCTTGCTTGAGCTTTACTGTACTTAGTTTTTTTTTCTGGTACACTTGTTTCTTTATCACTTGCCTCATTAGAAACTGAAAATAGAAACATAAGATTTAAACATACACAAATAACAAAGAATTAATTTTGAATTTTATATAATATTATATTATTATTAGGATATTCAGGAAAAAAATCATTATAAATATTATTTTTTTAATTTAATAAAACAATGAAATACTCGTCCGCATCTGTCTTACATAAATTTGTTAAGCCATTGTACTTCTTGATGTTTTCTAAACATATTTTAGACATTTATATTTAGAATTTGATGCAAATAATTTTAAATTTAATTGTATTCACCTAAATCAGGTGGAGGATGAAGAGATTTTCCTGCACTCCATGAGCTCATTGAAATTGATGTTTTTCCTATAACCCATCCCAAGCCAGCCAATGCTATAGAAAATGCCACCATACTAATAGGATGCTGAAAATTCAAAAATCCAAGTGTATTTTTAAACTAATACTATAATAATATCACTTCATATTGTTCATATATTAATATTTAATGTTGATTTATATGAATAGAACATTTAAGTATTTACTATATAATCTATACAATAAAGTTTTAGTAAAATAAGTGATACAAGAAAAAATACTCACTGTTAGTGTTGGGTTTGTAGTTAAGGTATAATCCATTATAACTACACTAATGCCAATGATAAAACCAACACAGGTGCAGATCCAGATAATATTTTGGTAACCTATAATTATTATTAATATTAAAATATATAAACAAAATCAATTTACCTTATCTATTTAAATATTTGAAATACAATAAGAAAATTAGTTATTTATATAACAATTTTTTGTTTAGGGATATAACAGAAATGATAATTTATTAGATTTTTTTGTCTAATTTTTTTATTACTCAAATAAAAGAATCAAAATAGCATGCTATAATAATATATATAATAATCAGTTTAATACAAAAAATAATAATGTCTTTTTTATCTACCTCTCAATTTTCTTTTTTGCATATCTGTTATATTTTTAATGGATTCCATTAACTTAGGGTTATGTGGCTCAAGTTGTAGGGCTCTTGTATAAGAAATAATTGCTTCATCATACAATTCACTAGCAGCTTCGACCTCCGCACGTCTAAAATAACCCTAAAAATTAACTCATTAAGAATAATTTATGCATACATGACTTGCTTTAAAAATAATGTTACGTATTATTTACCTTAGCCCACTGAGGTTGTAATCTTACAGTTTCATTTGCATCCTGTAGAGATAAATAATGTTGGTCTAATTTAAGAAATGCAAATGATCTGTTACTGTATAGTACGTAATTATTCGGATCCATCTTAATTGCTTGCGTATAATGTAAAACAGCTTCAATGTACTTTCCATCTTTAACACAATCGTTACCTTTATTCTTTAGTTCTTCAATGCTTATTGACTGGGCACCTTTTTTTGTTTCCTCCATCTTCGTAAAAAATAAATGTACTGCTCCAATTGTATCATGTATTATAAGTCAGACATGTTTTTAATTTATTTAATTACCTATATATTTAAAAAGTAAATTCTTTTAGCTCAAAAGACTTAATGTCAATGTCAAAATGACGTTTTAATAATAATTAATAAGTGATGTTATCCGATTTAAAAATATTTATTTCATTCGCTTATGTATTTATTTATTTTTTTATTTTATTATTAGAATAAAATAGACTGACAATCTCAATTTTTACTGAAATAAGAAACAAATGATTATTCTTCATTATATTCAGCCCGCTTTCGTCCACTGTCAGACATAGGCCTCTCCTATGGCACGCTACTGAGCTCGATCTTCAGCTGATAGCTTAGATAGTATGCAACCGCTGCCAGACGCCATACGTATATCCTCGTTCTACTTAGCTGGAGGGTGACCTACACTATGCTTGCCGAGCCGTGGCCTCCACTCTAGAATTCGTCTACTCCATAGGTTATCGATTGTGCAATAAATGTGACCGTCCACTGCCTTCAGCTTGCTAATCCTTTAGGCTCTGACGATTATTAAGTATTTAGTAGTAAGATGTTAAGTACCTTGGTGGTGTAGTGAAGTACGGCTGCACATCTTGAGCTCCTGGCTTCAAGCCCCGGGTCGGGCCAACTTTAGTTAATGAATCTATCTGTTTAGTAAGTCTCAGTAACAGCCCGGATTTAGGAAATTGAATTGGCGGTGTTTTACCCGCGTGCCTTGGAGAGCACGTAAAGTCGTCAGTCCTGCGCCTTATAGAATAATATAGAATGTATAGAGAGTGCACTTGTGTCTGCGTTTACACTTGTGTACTATAATATCTCCTGCGCAGATGGCTAGTCTCAATAAGATTGGCCGCCGTGGCTGAAGTTGGTTGGGAGCTCATTATTGGTAACACGATTTAACATTTTCATTTTTAGGTCTAACGGTATCATTTTACTACTAATAAAATCATACAAACAATTACAAATTAGAACGTGCTTATTTCATTTTAATATCTTTTGATGTCATTATTGTTAGATCAACACGCGAGGGTAATGAGATTCCTCAGGCATAAAAATCTTTGTCGATTATTTTCGCATCCCTAGTGTTAGTCATCTGTCGACTGTCAATTGTCATCTAAAATTGGGCAGGTCTCTATTTTTTTTTAGGTTGACCTGTGATTTTAGTATTTATATTTTTTAGTTCACGAATCACTTCATATAACTTACTTGTTACGTTAACAATGGGTATAAAGGAAGCTGCAATATATTTAGATAATCAGTGGAATACTTATTATGCAGGACAAACAGTAAATGGAAGAATAGAATATGTATTCGACAGTCCAAAAAAAGTTAGAGGTAAGTGTACAGCAATCTGCATAAAAATAATTATTGCATTTATGAGTCATAATAGGCAAACATTTGAATTGTAATCTTATATCCGCTTCCATAGTGTTAATTACAACATGATTTATATAATTGTTTATGAATATAGTAGGCAGGCATTCGTATTTCGTTACAGGAATTCACGTTAAGTTTAAAGGAGAAGCTCATACTGAGTGGAGTGAAAGTAAAGAAGAGCAAGATGAGCAAGGAAAAACTCGGTCTACTGACACTCTTCACACAGGAAATGAAGAGTACTTCCAAATCACTTATTATTTACTAGGAAGCAGTTCAGGTAGATAAAAGATATTGAAAAAAAAGTTATATATATTTTTATGACATAAAAAAATCCATACTAACCTGCCCATTACAATGCTCTTAGTGGTGAATAGTGATGAATGCTTATCCATCATAATTGTATATTTTTTTTGAAGTTGAGATACTTGAGCATGTTTTAGATTTTTTAAAATTTATTTATTTGTAGGTAATGAAATAGAAATTCCTGCTGGAAAGCAAGTTTACAACTTCACATGTGCTCTTCCACCTGTTTTGCCTTCCTCATTTGAAGGGCAATATGGCTATGTGAGGTATACTGTTAAAGTAACCTTAGACAGACCTTGGAAGTTTGATCAAGAAACTAAAATGGCATTTACTGTTATCAATGCACTGGATCTCAATTTGAATCCATCATATAGGGTAAGTTTTGGACAATATTTTGTGTTGTTATTAAAAAAAATTGCTGAGTATCTATATACATGTGAGTATGAATACAAAAATAAGGAGTTTATTGAAAAATGGTGTGTAATTTTAGGAACCTATACATTTCCAAATGGAAAAGACATTTTGCTGTTTTTGCTGTGCATCTCCACCTCTGTCCGTGGATGTGCAAGCTCCAGTTTCTGGATACTGTCCTGGTCAAGTGATTCCTATTACAATAGATATTGAAAACAAAAGTAATGTTCAACTGCATCTTGTAAAAATATTCCTAAGAAAGGTATGTAATTAATATGATAAAATATGTTTTTCTTGTTAATGTATATTGTTTTTGAGTTAATGAAAGAGTAATGTGAGAGAAGATAAAAATATTTTTAGTTTCTATCAATTGTTATTTTGATAATAACATGTTTATATATAGTGAAATTAAAATGTTTATATAATATTTTTTTTTCAGGTTGTTACATATAGAGCAACATCTCCATCAACAGTGACAAAGAAATCAAAAGATATAATTTTGACTATCCAGGAGGGTCCAGCACCAGCAGGTACAACTAAACACTGGAATATGACCATGGAAGTACCTCCGATACCACCTTCTAATCTCGTCAATTGTAATATCATAGACTTGGATTATGACTTGAAGGTAATTAAATTATAAGGATATTTTAGGTAAAAAAGAGATTACAGGTTATATTTATTTATGCAGTTTAGCATAAATAATCTTATTTTAAATCTCTAAAACTATTTGAGTGCCAAATTATAGTTATATTGATGTACTGATTAGGTAAGAAATCTTGTAATAATTAGCTCATCAAGTTGAGATGTTGCTAACAATATTCAAGGCTAATGTTGTACTTATTCATAAAGTGAATTCTATTGTATTAAAAACTCTATAATAGTTTTATTTCTATATTAATACTTACATACAACAGTTATCTATACATACAATAAAAATTCTAACTGATTCGAATATGTACATTAAATATTTTTGGGAAAATCTTATTAAAATAATCATTTTTATGGGTACACAGGCCGAATCTATAGTTTTTAGAGTTTTTGTCTGTCTGTCTGTCTCTGACCGCATGACGGAAAAACCACTGGAGGGATTTTGATGAAATTGGTATGATAGCTGGTTATCCGTGTCAACATATTGGATAGTTTTTACTGCGGGAAAATATCTCATCTCTGAGAAATTTATAGTAAACGTTAAAACGTAACTACAAGGGACGAACCCGAGCGGAGTGAGGTTGAGTCGCTAGTTATATAACAAAGTAATATTATTTGACTAATTGTTCTAAATATGACATTTAAATGGATAGTGTACAAGATTTTTTTTTATATATAATGTCGTGTTTCTATGGGTTTAATATATATAATGATTTTGTAATGCTCAAAATTGTCATGGAAGTGGCTGATGATACTTATACATACTTGTGAAGACTGAATTTTTTTGTACTATTTGACATTGACTAAACAAATTTTATTAATTTACTAGCAACTGACCCTCGTTTCGCTCGGGTTTGTCCCTACTTACGTTTTAAGATTTAGTATCGATTTCTTAGAGATGAGATATTTTCCCGTTGTAAAAAGTATGCTATATGTTGACCCAGATAACCAGCTATAATCATACCAAATTTCATCAAAATCCCTCCAGTGGTTTTTCTGTGATGCGGTAACAGACAGAAATTTTAAAAACTACAGATTCGGCCTCTGTATCGATAATAATCTCAATTTCAATAAGATATTCCAAAAAATATTTAAAGTACAGCTTCAGCTTAGTTACAATTTTATTATATGTATAGATCCAAATGATATTAAAAATTTCTTTATATTTCAGGTGGAATGTGTAGTATCTGGGGTGCATATAAACATGAAGGATCGCAAATACATAACAATAGGCACAGTCCCACTGGTAGGTGTGGGTCAGTCTGCACCGAGTGCCCCACCTAGTGAGCTACCGTCTCCGAGTCAACCTGCAGTGCTGCCTGTGGCTCCTGGACAAGCAGCACAACCTGGCAATGTATGTATATTATTTTGTATATTTTTGGCTTATTTCATAATTTGTAAGATAATAAGACAAAACTTTATACTATGTAACACAAATAGAAGTATACTTATATTGTATATTTATCTAAAATTAATGAGTGTCATGAACTTGATATTTCGTAATTAAAACTAATATACTTTGTAATTAAGATAAAACTTTAAGAGTATACTTTTATTTGTAGTGGCATAGCTAGTGGTGACATCATGTTTATTTTCTCCTCAAATTGTCTGAAATAAATTACATAACTTTTAATAATATCTAAATGGATTAACGTGAACAATAATGCAACAACTAGCTATGGATAAAATCGATATGCCTATGAGTATTTATAATCCTTAGAGAGAAAATAATATTTTTTAGATACTGCAATACAAATTATTAACAAAAACTTGTTGTTGTTGTTGTAAGTCTGTACGTCATAATCAAAATCCTCCAAGCACTCAAGTGCTAAGTCACGCCGGGCAATAATGTACTATTTAAGTCACATTTATCATAATGTACTACTTTTGATAACGTGATTTTTGAAGTTATACTTCTTTTGGCACGTTTGGAAAAAAATTAATAGAGAGATAAAAAGTTTTACGATGCGCGCGCACACCGACAGCCAAAAAGCGACATGATGATGTTAGCTTCATTCCTATTACAAACAGAGAGTTGTGACATACGGGATGAAATCTTTAGCTATTTTTGTACTGTTACGCCAACTAAGTATAACTTCTTGAGTACGTTCACAAGTACACACACACTTTTTTTGTTGTATAAAATCAATTAATCAAAATCAATAATTGTTTTGACATATACAGTCATATATGTATTATTAATGTTACATTGTTGTATAATTTTTAGTTGTATGATATAAATAATATGAATGATGTAGGTGGGAGGTGACGCGGCGCCTGGCGGGTGGGTGTTGCCGGGAGCGCCCGCGCAGCCGCCGCCATTTCAATCTCTGTACCCTACACTATGTAAGTATTATTTGTATATAAATATTAAATAAAAATACCCTTTATTGTACACCCACAAAAGTTAAAAAAAAAATAATACAACAAGAAAAATGGAATTGGGTACTTGTACTAAAATTTTAATAAATTGTGTTGTGATTTTTAAGAGGAAAAAGTTAGTTGTAATTAATAGTTTCTTCCTGTCTGTAATTTGTATGCGCGCGTATCGCTAGTAAACTACCGGTTTGAGTTAAATTGACTTTATTGTATACAACTTATAAAAAAAATCTGAACCCGTTCAATACAATGGATGTTCACTCATTCTATATTGGCCGTGGGCATATAGCGGCTTACATTTAGTGCGAAATAGTAAAACTTACTTGCTAATAAATAATAAATATATAGATTGAAGTACCAGTAATGTACTAATAGACAATAAATATGCATGTAGTTGGAATTGTTATTTTTTTATTGTTAAATAACTATCGTTAACAGCATTTTAGTTACTTTTAGGTAAATCCAACCACTGCTTTTAATGTTCTAGATTGTTTGTATTATGTATATTTTATTTTATATTCTCTATATAAAAAAATACATACACATCACTTCACGATATATGTATCTCTTAGGCAGAGAAAATAATTTAATAATAACATGAAAAAGGCTTTAAATCCTAAAGTAAAATATTGATTTCAGCCCAACCAGTGTACAAGGAATCTCTATACTCAGCTCGCTCCATACAAGATCGTGGGGAAAGCAACAATATGGCGATCGCCGGACCTGCTCGCTTTGCTCCATTCTATCCAACTTATGCTGCTATGCAACCTCCACCTTTACCGCAATAGATATTTAAAATCGATTAAACAATGGAAATCGATTATATCTTCAATAATAATCGATAACATATGTCACAGAAAATAATCGAAAGGCGCTTGCGATTTATCGATGTTAAGCTTCTACGTCACGTGTTTATTTTGTTGTATTCCATTACTTCATTTATTAACATTAATTGTTTTTTCGTCTTCAAACCTGCAATTTGCCAATATGAATCAATCTGAATGGCAGCTTTCGAGACAGCTAATAATAATAAACAAGTAAGTAAAATTGTTATAATAATTATTGAAATATATTTAAACACGAATCTAAAAAATTAGGTTGATATTTCGATTAACCGTCCATTTTTGTTATCCTTATTGTATATGTATCTTTGAACAGGTAAGAGAAATTTTATTTTAACCCAATTATATATCGGCTTATATAATTTTACCTCATTTATGCTCTAAATTGTATTTTAGGATTATTTTTTTTTCTTAATCGATTATTTAATTTTTTTTTAAATCTATTACTATACATTGACTTCACTATTTTTTTAGCCACATTATAACACATCACACATGTTTGGGAAGTTTTTATTGTGATTATATAATTTTTTTTAAACTTTATAACAGAACTTTTTGAAGTTATACTTTTTTGGCACGTTTGGAAAAAAATATGAGAGTAAATTTTTTACGATGCGCGCGTACACCGACAGCCAAAAAACGACGTGATGATGTTAGCTGCATTCCTATTACAGAGTTGTGACATACGGGATGAAATCTTTAACTATTTTTGTTCTGTTGCGCCAAAGAAGTATAACTTCTTACGTGCAAGCGTAATAAGTACACTTTTTTTTTATTATCTTTCGTCATACTATTTGACTGCTGATTTTTCCGTTCCGTATAGTTCCGTTGAATTTAGAAATAAATGTTAAATGTCAAAAAAATATTATTAATCCCTTTTTTACTATAGGCCATTTTAAAAGCGAATGTAATGTGCCACTGTCTAATTATACTATATAACATAAGGCTTTAAATGTACGAGCTTTGTACTGTGAAGTGTTACCAATCCTTTAGAAAGAGATCATTTTTAGATTTAAAAGAGAAATCTGAATGTAGAATGTTTTTGTCACTTGTTAAATAAATATGTGAATATGAATATTAATTATAACATAAACTTTGAAATAGGGTTGTTCTGATTGCTCTATGCAATGTTATGAGCTTTTGAAAGGGACTTTATTTTTTAAATGTTTTTGATATTGTTTTTTTTATTAAAAATTTACAGTATATATGTTACACTACAATATAGCGTGGGCAAGGGGTAAGGTGTGATATCGTCTGTTTGTACCTTTTGATAAAATTTTCTAATAAAAAATATATATTTGCACATTTCTGTTTATATATAATTTAAGTTTTATAATCCTCATAGATGCACAATATTTGATTGTTTTTAATTATGTATTTAATTAAGACCTCCAATTTATTGATTTTTGCTTCTAATTTTAGAGGTTAAAGTTATTGTCAAGTAAGCATCGTGTAACCTGTTTGTTTGTTGCTATTAAATTTAAGTTTTATATTAAATACTAACAAATATAATTTGCATTTTGTAATACTGCAGCGATGGTTATTCAAAAACAATAATCTCAATATAATCGTAATCTGAATAACATTGGCAAATTATTTTAATCGCCTCAGTATTACCAATTTTATACATTTTATTTTTACATGTTATATTATTGATTAAATTTTTTAATGTAAAGTGCTGTTTTTTTCTTATCCTAATATTATTTGAAGCTTTTAAACGGTCAAGTAGCCTATGTTACTTTCCAGCCCTCCAACTATCTCCACACAAAAAATCACAATCCGACACTCTGTTTTGACATGAAAGAAGTACAAACAAACAAACACTTTCACATTTATAATATTAGTATGGATTTAAAAAAAAAGAATTGGATCATCTTGGATAGTTTTGTAATTCTACTGTAAAATTATTTTGTGATAGTTTTTTTTTAATCCTATAGTAACATTCGGGAAAAATTAAAATCAACTGTTTAATGGGAGTCTTTATTGATTTTCCTTCATAAAATAAATTATACTAATTGAGCATTACCAATAAGATTTACAACAGTAAAACCAGGTAATTCCATGGGAATAAAATCCTGCAAGGTGATGTTTATAATTTGTTTACTATTAGTGTTTACAGCAAATTAAATTCATTTATACACAAGTGACTTGTACTCAACACATTCTAAGTTATTACAAATAAACTTACATAAAATTTTTAGATATTAAAAATTTTGTTTGTAAATTGTATAATACATATTTTGGATAGCAGTCCATAAATATTTTACTATTTCTATTATAATTCACAAGATTTTTAACGCTTCTCGCGTGAGACTTTGAAAATCCTTTGGAAAATTACCGCAAAACACCTGTGATGAAAACTGCTAATAATTTTAATTTATAAACTGCTAAATCTAAAATTGACGTTCTTATAAACATATATTTATTTGAAGTTTATTGTTATCTTTAAATGGTTGACAAACACCTAGTATAGAATTAGTAATTGTATACGTATAATAATAGTGTTATTAGTGAAAAAGTTTCTTTATATTATCGTTAATTGTAAGTCTCAGAGGAAAGGTGATAATAAAGAGCAACATCCACAAGCAAGAACAGATAAAGACATTATACTGCATAATCTGTTTGTTACACAGTATGTGACAGATAAAGTAGAAAATAATATATTTCGTATAATTCCCAAACGATATTAATATTGAGAATATTGTGAAAAAAACGTGTAAAACGGTTGTGCAGGTGCATCCTAAGAAGACACATGGTATAACGTGTTAGTGTTGTGGATGATAAATACTCTTATCAATTTTACTTTTAAATATGACATTGGATATTTTAAATAATTAAGAAATAATAAAGGTTTTTCTATAAGGACTAAGTGAAAAAAAAAACCCTATGTGTATATGAAGATATAAATATAATAATTTATGAAGGAAAAACAATGCATTATTGCTGGATATTGTCTAATAGCATTTGATTTTAATGATTGCTTAAATCGACGATAATGAATAATGGAAACAAAACCACAATGAGTTGCTCTAAACAAATAAGTTCTATACTAACATTTTTTTTGTTATTTTTTTAAACATAAACAAGTTATCTACATATGGGCGACATGCCGTACCTTCGATTTCAACCGGTACAATTTAATTATACATTTATTGAAAGTTTAGACATGAATTTTGTGCATAATGGTTGTAGACACGTAGATTAACCGTTTCTCTATGAACTATGAACCGATATTTAATATTCCCAAATTTTCAAACATCCCTATTACTAGTCCTGTGATTTATGGTAATGCGAATCTATCGCTACGTGTAAAGTGGATGCCGTGGCAAATCATGTATCGTTTTCTCGTCAGAGGTCAATATATGGGCGAGGATCTAAAGGTCGTCGGATCCCGCCGTCGGCGAAACCGCAATCCCTTCGATGTCCGAATAAGATCGGGAATCGCTCGTCCGTGTACACTCGGAGCGCGCCCGCGGCGGCACTAGCATTCGTTAAAAAACTCTTCATACTTATATTAGCGCTCTAGCTAGGTGGCGAACCTTTGAACGTTCACACGCCGATATATTCCTACAATTTTATTAACATGTAGATTTAACATCGATTCTAATTCGCTACGGTACGCGCGCCATAGATTTGCCAGCCTCTAGCCGTCCTGTTCGAATGCACCTTAACCTTCGTGTACACGCGAGTCGAGTCAGCGGCGACGCTTCCGTTCTCGTCAGTACCGTATTCCACGGAGTGAGTTCTGCGACGGCGGTCCGCTCCACTCAGTACTGACCGCGAAATCCACCTTGGTACGTGGAGTCCTGGGATAGGAGTCCGTCGGGCTGCGAGGGACAGTCTTGTACCGTAGATTCCTGGCTGAAGTCCGGTTGGGAGGCTCCCTGCGAGAGCGAGAGGTGCGGTTGCTGCGACAGCGGTTCCTGCGACAGTCTCGTGCGCCTCCTCTGGTGCCGGTGCTGGGCGGGCGGCGCGCGCGGCGGGGCGCGGTGCGCGGCGAAGGCGGCGGGCGGCACGGGCGCGTGCAGGCGCGCGGCGTGCTCGGGCCCCACGTACGCCAGCGGGTCGCGCAGCGGCCGCGCGCGGTCGTAGACGGACCCCGGGACCATCGCCTCTCTGGCGTCGAACATAGACGTCGACATGAAGTGCGACCCGGGATTTTGAGCGTTTACTAATTTCTTAGGTTTCGCGAATTGAATAGCCGACTCTTTCAGATTAGACAGCGGCCCCTCTGTGAGCACTCTACGCTCTTTGTAAAATGCGAGCAAATGGTTCCACAGCGGCTGTTTGCTGAGAACCTTCGGGTTGCCGACGACGATCAGGCCGTACTTGGCGCGCGTGAGTGCGACGTTCAAACGACGCGGATCGCTCAAGAAACCGATACCCTGATGTTCGTTGGAGCGGACGCATGACATTATAATGATATCTTTCTCTCTTCCTTGAAAAGCGTCGACGCTCGCTACTTCGATCTCTTGGTACAGTTTCGCGTGCAAGCTGCCCTGGTACTGCATATGCTGCACTAGGTAAGACCTTTGACCTTCGTAAGGTGTTATTATGCCGATTTGTTCCGGACGTACTCCAGCTTTTAAGAAGCGAGTCGTCAGCTTTTCTACATTGGCCGCTTCAGTCCTATTAAGGTACGACGTTCCCGACCCGGCGATCTCTTCTTGCCCTTGAGTAACGTAAAAGAACATGGGGCGATCTGGTCTAGGCCAAGGAAAATCGATTTTGTGTAGGCGACGTTCTTCCGCACTCACTCCATTTTGGAGAGAACCTTCATAAAAGAAATCAGATGGAAAACGCGACAGTTCGGGGTGCATACGGTACTGTACTTCTAAACGGAACGGACGAATCCCGAGAACGACGAGTCTCTCGAAGAGACTCTGGCTGAGTCCAGCTTTGGCAGCTTTCTTGCACATCACGACCGGGCCTAATTGGCAATGATCTCCCACAAGAATCAGCTGTCTGGCACCGAGTACCACAGGGACCATACACTCCGGTTCAGTAGACTGCATGCCTTCATCAATTAGTATGGATTGGAATCTCATCCTCGCCACTCTGGGGTCGCCCGCGCCCACGCACGTGGTGCACACTACGTCTGCCGCATCCAACAGCCGTCTCTCCGCAGCTCTTCGTAGCGCACGGTATCTCCTTTCATCTGCCGCTGAAAGTTCTCCAGCTTCTTCCTTCAATCTGGTTAACTTCCTCAACTCACTGTCAGCCGAACCTAACGCTCGGGCTTGTTCGTGTAGGGCCAAGAATGAGACTGAAGATTCCATTGCTTCCCTAGATTTAGCGCACAGACGCACTACTTTAAGTCCAGTTCTATGTATTTTCTCTGTAAGTTGGTCGACGGCAGTGTTTGAAGGTGCGCATACGAGCACTGGTCCGCCATTTTGACGTACAAGCTGGTATACAATAGTTGCTGAAGTAACAGTTTTGCCTGTTCCTGGCGGACCTTGGATAAGCGACAGAGGACGCTGTAATGCATGTTTAACTGCATACACCTGTAAAAAATATAAAATAATATAATTAAAGATATACTACACATTCAGTTATAAGAAAATTTCACAGTTTTATTAATAATCTAAGGTAAAGGTAATACAATAAATTATTACACAGATGTCTATTTCTTTCATTATCCTTATCTACTAAAATTCAATAAAAGCTTTTATTTTTATACTAAATATTATCTTTGGTATATTACACCTACAAGAAGATAAACTATTAGGGAAATGGAAACCTTTTACGAAACTAAGATAAGTGGTCTAGTTCTTTTTTTATTAGTCATCTCCTGCCGCGCGGCATATAGTCACGTAATACACTATACAATAATAGCGCGGTAGAGGTAAGCATGGACACTTAGGTAAAAAATATGGCTTAGTTGTTGGGATGGGTTAATAATATAACTATTTACGTAGATAATCAAAGACACTTTGTGACATACCTGAGATCTGTTCAAATCAGGCAAATTGGGAGCACTAAAATGCTTCGGCAAGTGTACGCGAAACAGGACTTCTTCCACCTCATGTCCGAGGAGCCGGCGGTAGATGTAGCCCGACACTGAGGAATCGTCCACCGCGAACTTACGCAGGGCTAATTGCATTCTGAAATTGTTTCATTGATATTATGTACTTGATTAATGATTAGCGACTCACCCTCGCTTCGCTCGCGTTCATCCCTATTCCCCATACAAACTTTCATTCTCTCCCCCCTCGCCACCTTAAGGGATGATTTCCGGGATATATTCATACCAAATTTCATCGAAATCGTTTCAGCGGATTTTTAGTTTATTTATTACAAACAAACATACAATAATTAATTTTTTTGAAGTGAAAACTTCTAAAAGCCGATTTGGATGCTGAGTAAATTCATGTAAGTCGTCATCGATCAAACATCGATAGATGGCAAAATAAGATAAATGTAAACAGTTTTAATTTACAAGTTTTGTTTTAAGGTCAAACAATTTATTAGAGTATCAAAAAATAATAACTGTTTGTTTATATTTTTAAGTTTTCACTTCTGTCGGCAGTCCTCGTAACTGATTTTTATTTTCCCTTTATAATAGTAGTATAGAAAACAAATTATAGTTATAATAATATATGAAAAAACAAATTACATAACTATAACTGAAAAATTAAAAATATCGACTATTATGAATAATGGATGCTAAAGAAATCTTTAGCAAACTTTGGGCTTATGGTTTTAAAATTTTTGTACATTTCTTTTAATAATAATTTCAAGAGAAACATAAAAGACAGCTTATTATACTATTTTAAATAAAAACTTACTGGTACCGACTTCGAAAATATCTGATCAGGTATGTATACCAAATGAAAACCCCCGTTTTGTTATTTTTTACAATTTAGTGCCTGAAGGTCGGTTTTTTAAGTTTTTATTTTTCCATTTTTAGTGTAGCCGTAATAAGCAGGTAATTTAAAAGGAAAGGGTTTTAATGACATTCGATTAAGCAATTTATTTAAAAAAAATATTTATTGTTGATTTTTTAAAAACCGCTAATCTATTTTGATAAAATTTAAATGGTGGTCCCATTACCACCTAGGAAGTATACTCTTAGAAACAAAAAAATCCTAATCGGGTCAGGCGTCTTCGAGTAATCGGTGAGCATACATAAAAAAAATAGGAAGTCGGTTAGAAAATATCTGATTTATATATCGAAGTACATTACTATTTACTAACCTATCAAAGGAGGTGCTTTTCCATATAAAGTCTACCACAAAATTGGACGTGCAGTCTAAGGGTGCTCCGGTCCCGCTTTTCAGTTCTAAGCCAACATCGTCACCATAGTTGTCCGGCACCTTGATCACGTGACCGACCCCAGACCACGCCTTGTGTAGCTCACCTACGTATCTGAAATTATTTTATGATTTTTTGTTAGAATAAGGATTATTAATATTATAAACCCAGATCACATAATGCTATACTAATACAGGTGCCCCATACGATACAAAGAAATTGGACAGTGCTAATTTGGGCTATTTTTGTTTGCTTGAATAGATAATAGATGTTGATGATTCACAAATATTATGAAATATAAATATGTTGGGACAATATTATGAAATGTTTTATTTTATAAATATGTGCAAACTGAACTAAAGTAAATAATGCAAATTTCAACCTGCATTCGATTGTACGATTCAAGGGATTTTAACAATTTACGAAAAATGTATGGTTCCTGTGAGATAAATTTATTTATGTTTTTCACTAGGGATGAACCCGAGCGAAGCGAGTTTAAGTCGCTAATTTGTAATAAAAAAAAATCACAATAGAAATCTACTGCTTGAGAAGTATATAAATTATTATTTAAAAATTTCTTTACCTTAATCTCAATTCATCTCCATGCATGAGCTTCATATCACTATCGGTCTTCGCAAGTGTGAAATATGCTATAGTTTTTTTATTTAGACCGACATCCCAACGCACTTCAATACCTTCTTGAGTTTGAGACTCTTTCAGCCTCTTATCATAGTCTGCTTCTAGCTTTACAAGTGGACCAAATATGTTTTGATATTGATATCCATCTTCATATCTATAAGAATAAAAATTGAATAGTAAAATTATAAAAAAATTATGAACACAACTATAAAACCTAATATTATGACAATTTTTCCACTATTGTTGGAAACGGTATTTAGTAAATCAAAATGATTTTTTGTATAAAACTAATTTTAAAGTACCTAAGTATATAGTATATAGGGTGCGGTGAACTACTTATTTTTTGGGGAAATATCTCAACGCTATTTGAATTTATTTATTCATTAAGATAACTGTGTATAAGTAAGTAAATAATAGATGGGCCGACTATAAGTTTTTCCGACTAGCCGACTGGTCGGTTGGAAAATCCGACTAATCGACCCACTACTCAGTTCCTGCCTCTAAGCTGTATTTCTTTTAATTATGAATATGACATAGTATGTGTAACTGTGATTCAAAAACAAATTATAAACAGGATATTGTATAATTATGTTCTTTGTGCAGAGTTGTAGACGCTTGCGCTAAAAAAAATTTTTTTGATAAACTTAGTCATATGAGTCCTAGTCTTCTATTCCTTCCTTCGTTCCTATTCCTAGATTATATTGCCATATGTAAGACTGATAGTAATATATAAATAATAATGACGGAATTTCATTTCAATCACCCTATTTTGAGAATAGTAATATGAATAATGGTCCGACTAGTCGGTGGTTTTTGCCGACTAGTCGCCGCATATATGTAAATATGGCCAGATAGTCGGCTTTCAGCCTTTCCCGACTAATCGGTCACTAGTCGGTACATCTTCTTATAATATAAAAATGAGTCGCCGAATGTGTTGGTAAGCGCAAATTTCGAGGGCAGCCGAACCCATTTCGCAAATATTGTTTCATACATATAATAAAATTGTAACTAAGTCGAATCTGTACATTAAATATTTTTTGGGAAATCTAATTGAAACAGACATTATTATCGATACAGAATCCGAATCTAGTTTTTTGAATTGTTGTCTGTCTGTCTGTTACCGCATCACGACAAAACCACTGGACAGATTTTAATGAAATTTAGTATGATGATAGCTGGTTGTCCGGCTCAACATATAGGATACTTTTTACCGCGGGAAAATATCTCATTTCTGAGAAAAAATTCAAACACTGCAATGTAAGAGTATACTAATATGCAAAACCTAAGAATTTAGTTTTTGGTTATTTGAACGCGGGCGGAGCCGCGGGCAATGCTAGTTTAGAATATTCCTTGAAGTACGAGGATGGTTCTTATGGAGAGAAAGATTTAAAAAATTGCCTGAAAAAGTCTAAAAACAACACTTTTCTATACTCCCATACAAAAGATTGTAATATACTTAAAAGTCAATCTGAACTTTAATACCATACCATAAAGTTTAAGTGTTAGTTGAGAGGTTCCGGGAAGGCAAAACAATTGAGTGACGTTAGTATCATATAAATATTAATGTCAATGTTATTAACAAAAAAAAATGTATATGGCTAACGCTGGCTAATAACTATTTATATCTATTTAAAACGTACCTAGCGACAAACCCGAGCGAAGCGAGGGTGAGCCGCTATCCTCTAGTAAATATATAGTAATATAATTTGTATGAACAAATGTAAAGTTCTGGTAAAATTATCTTATCTAACCTCAACAACACTTGATGCGGTTCTTCATCTACTCCAGGTTTTTCAAGATCTTGGAAAGTGGCATCTACATTATCACGCCATAGCTCTTCTAGGCGACCAATTTGTTGTGGTGTTACCTGAAACATGAGCAATTGTTATTAATTAAAATTGTAAATTATGTTATTATAAATGTAAAATAGCTGTTTTTTTGATATGTTAACAATATGTGTTGCTACTGGCACTTTCTTCATTCATATTTGGGATCCGCCGCCTTGAGGGAAGCCAGTTGCCAAGCTGGTCTAAGTTGCGCACCCGTTCAGATGAAACTTAAGATGTAAATCATTAGGTTTATAACAAATGAATGTTGAAAATAATATTGCCTTCCTATTCACAACACACTTTTAATATATTTTTTTCAATATTACTGAGGGTAGAATTTTTTGCAATAAAGGGTTTGAATACTTCAACAATAATAATAAAGCTCTTTTAGTTTCTATCATATTCAGCTTTATGACTGTTTTGATACGATAATGCACGTTTAAAATCAACAATACTTTAAATATTATATTTATTTATATATATTATATGCTTGAGTTTACTTACTTGTCGAGCCCTCATTTGCTCAGCTTCCGATGGTACTTTCACAAGCCATGATAAAAACGCACGATCAGCTGAAGGTTTAAAAAAAGATGAAATTAATATTTTCCCATATTTTACAATTTAGGTTGCAAAATACATACAAATGCCAGTAATTACAATAAAATCTTGACATCATTATTTTTATTATATTGGATCATGCTGGCCAAGTGCAGATTTATTAACAGCAAGGGCTCTTTGTGATCTAACAGATCATGATTCCCTGTGAGATGTTTTTAAGTTGGCATTCGTGTAGTTGCATCACAATATGTACCATATAAATTGTTTTTTTTAATGTTCATAAAAATTTACACAATAAACACTAGGAATAGAAATAAGCTTGTTACACCGTTTTCAACTTCAAAAGTTAAATAAAACCCTCATTTTTCTCTCTCTCTGAGAGATCAGGGCCTGAGTATATGCATCTATACATGTAATAAAAGTGTAACTGATCGCTGTCTGTACATGGAAGGTATTTTAGAAACACTATTATTGGGAGTCTTTATTAACGCAATAGAACCCAAAACAATGATTTAAAAAAAATGCCTGTGCATTTGTGCATATTAATTTCAGAAATTGCTTAACCAATTTGGGTGCAATTTTTACTAATGTATTGTGGTAAGCTTCACTTAAGATTTAAAATTTGTTTCATTCCAATCAATTCATAAATAAAAAAGCTAAATCTCCCAGGGACGAACCCCGGCATAGCAAGGGTGAGTCGCTAGTATATAATAAAATTCCACAAACTGCCATAGATTTATTTACAATTTAAAGATAAATTAGCAGTATTTTAATGAATAAAGCATATTATTCCATTCATGAGTTTTTGTTGGTAGAAATGTGTGGAATCGAGGTACATATATTGACTCTTATGCGGGCTATTTATAATATTACTTTTACTTCCTTGCCATCAGTTCTCTACAGAACTGCTTTCTGAGCCGGCAGTAGTTTTTAGATGGTCTGACTAGTGACTACTCTGACACTCTTTAAATTAAATTGATAATTCATAAGTATTTATATAAGTTTAATTAATAACAGATACAATTTTAATAAAGATACTTACAAATCAATGGTTTCCATTGCTCTTGATCCCAATTCATGTCTTTAAGAGAACTTTGAGCTGCACATGGTTGCCTTAAATTAGAAAAAAGAATTTTCAATATACTAGCAGTTAATAAAATATGTAAAATAAAACATGTAACTGTCATGTAGCAGATACATAAAAAAAATAACTTACCGACAAAGCAAAACAACAACAGAATCTGCCTTAGCTGGTATAAAACCCAACACAAATACATTTCTAGCACCACAAGAATAACATTCCAGTAGGGTCTCTCCTAAGGGTCCATCTCTATGTAGGGCTGCTTCTTTGTGTTTAGCTCTAACCAGATGATTGATAATGTGGGACCCAGAAGTGTTACCACGCCCATTACAAAACCTAAAACAGTGATTGTTTAATGACAAGTAAATAATGAATCACATATGTTAGCAAGCCATTTGGCATAAGTTTATTATATGAGCAGGGGCCTTCGAGGAGTGGTTTAAATTTTTAAATAGGATAAGTAATAATTTTTATATATTTAGATTAATCTTCAGCACCCCTATTCAAACATTTGACTCCAGGGTCTGCATTCTGTATACTAAACAGCAGCCATTCATTTGACACTGGTTATTTTCAAGCATTTCACTTGAGGAAGGCTAGACTCAGAGAGCATAAGTTTCAACTTATGTGTTGTGCAATATTTTGTTTAATTTGGTTTGATCTCTTTCAATAGTGAATTTACAACCAATTAATGCAATATTATTATTTTTCATTCATTCAAAGATCAATCTTTAATGTCAGAGCTTAAACGAAAAGAGACAGAATTAGCTACTATGTTAATATAATATTTATGGTAAAATTTATATTAAATTCATGTATATACATAATTTAATAATACTTACCATTTATTACATATATTGCACATAACAACCGTGGCAGGATCATGAATTCCACAATATTTGCATGCGTGTTCAGGTAGATCTTTGCTACTGTATAATGCCTCATCTTCTTCTTCAAATTGTAACTCAGCAATGGCATTAGCAACACTTGATACTTTTGAATTAAGTTCCGCCCGTCCCAAGCCATTTACCTATAGAGTGATGTTTTAATTAAATAAATAACCGTGCTAAACCTTGTAGTTTCTAATTAGGTTATAGGAATGATATTAATATTAGTAGTAAAAGTTCACTCACTTGGTTGGATGTTGTTAATCCATGATCGTGTTGAGACGCTTGTGTTTGACTCTGAGATGGAAGAGTGAAATCGGTGAATTCAAATTCTGATCCTTGAGTGTCAGCACCGATTAGATCTGCTTCTTCGGTGTCTAAGAATGTAAGCGTTTGTGAACTGGGGCCATACGCGTCGACACTCATTCTGATGCAATATAATATTAAAATGTATAGAGGAATGAAAATAGATCAAAAACGAAAAAATACAATACGTCAAATGCCAATCCCATAACAATCGCTCAATAGTGAAACGATTTTCTAATAATGATGTTGATGACCAAGAAAATTCGCCATGTTAGCACTCAGCAGTCAGCACATGGTTTGTTTCCGTTTACAATCTTGTTATTCATTGGTAAATCAAAACATAAAAGTCATTAGAACCAATTAAAATTCTGTTGTAATTGGTACCACCAATGACAATCAAGGAAAATAGGAATCATAGACAATTTATTTTTTTATTAAAGACTTGAGTTCATGGAAGTTTGCAAAATTGTGGCTAGATTCGTAAAAACAAATAAATTTTGTTTTGTCATTTTTATATTTACATAACATTACATATACAATTAACCGTTTGTCCCTCCATGACCGCGGACACGCCGGCGTTACAGTTAACAATAGATTTCTTAGAAATTTAGTTAATTTCTTAGAAATTTATATGGAGGTGTAAAATAATATGAATTGAGAAATTCGTAGTAGTACTTAGTAGAGTTATGTTTTTAAAAATATTTTATATTAATTTAATTTGATCATCTATAAGCTTATAAAAATGTAGAGATTTCTTCATTTTAAGTGCGTTAAGGTGATAAAATTTCATTGTATAAATTGGTCTTGCCAGGAAAAAGAAATATTAGTTCAAAAAAATCTGAACAGATGGCGTATTATATATGAATTTGAAAAAGATGTTTAGGAATAACTAAATAAAGAAAAAAAGTTGAACAGAAACCCAGTCTCCAATCAGTATTAAAAAACTCCATAATTTTACAATTTACATACATCTATTTTTTTATAAAATCAATCAGTGCGATCAGAGCCTCGTCCAAAACACTAGTCGAGTGTGGGTTTTTAGAGGATATTTTCATTCGAAAACTTAATTTAGGCTCCCTCAGACATGCAGTTTGGCTCACGATGTTTTCCTTCATCCTATATGCAAGTGGAAGTCATGTGGAAATGATTAACATATTATGTAAATACCAGAAGAGCGAGACACGAAATTTGATCTCGTTTCTCGTCTTAAAAGCGAGCGCTGCTGGCTGGACTACCACTGCTATAATAGCTTATTAATTTATTAGCCCTTAGCTCTTCCAAATACTAACCGATTAAAATAAAAACATATTATACCGAACAGTTAAATGTACCATAATATAATACATTAAAAATAATCATCCTAAGGCTGGCAATTTCAAAGGAAATTTGAAGCACGTTTACCTTTACAGTTAAAACGTAAAACATGAATGTATGTTAAGTATATGCACTTAGCATTTACTACTTAAAATTTTCATTTATCACTTAAAATGTTAGGTTAAATTGTAATTTCCGCTCATCCGATCGCGGCCACTGGGGCATTAATATTCTTGACAACTCGGTTATTTTGGTTCGGCATGAAATGTTGGCGATGGATATAGAATACGTATTTACATTTTTGATAGGTAAAAACTAAAAATGCATTATTTTAATGCCATAATAATAATGAAGGCCTGTAGTTTTTAGTCAAGGAATACGACCAAACCGGTGAACGTGCTGCGTTGTTTTACTTTAATATTTATTTTAATGCTGTCGAATTTATTTCAGTTAATTAGGTACCTTTAAGATAATAGACGTCAATTATTTGTAACTAACACTGGCAGAATGGATTGCGTCTGTTATCACAACAAGAAGCCATTATAAAAAAAAACAAATGTGATGAATTGTTATTTATGTTTGTGTAAGATTGATAAAATAAAAATAAATCCCATTAAAGGTTTAGAAAATAAATAAAATATTACAAAAATATCTTGAAGAATAGCCAAATTAGGGCTGTACAATTTTCTGCATGGGATGAATTTAAAATATCTACCGCATTTAAGCTCAAAAGAATGTTTGCACGATATTAAATCTAACATAATCAATTGTAGCGAGGCATTTAAATAAAATAAAAACATACCTTATTCAAATACATTTTATTTTAACTTTCACTATCTTAGTAGTCAAATCATCATTTACTTGGTAGCCCCGTGGTAACGTTCAAATCCCAGTCTCCCACCTCTGATAGTCTCAGAAGATTGTGGAGCCCGCGAACAGCGTGGTGGACTATGGCCTGATCTCTTTTGTAGTGAAGGGAGGCCTGTGCACAACAGTGGGACGTTAAAAAGGCCTGCGTGCTTACATACATAATTATTTATTGAGGGAGTTATTTTCGTAGCCCCAGGATAAAGTATATTCTTGGGAGCAGCTGGGAATTTAATAATACAATTTCTAAATGGATTTTTTAAAACTAACGTTAATTATATTGGATTGCCAAAATAATATTATTATATTGTTATGTCATGAGAAAGCATGCAGAAAGTAAGTAGGTATACCTATGAATGTAGATTGTAGAACCTCGATTAAAATGTAATTTGATATAACTATTTAATTTCAGATAAAGTTTCCGTAGGGTAAAATTACAAGATCAGTGCTATAATTATGGTATTGCTAAAATTGAAAATATAAAAACGTTTTAGTACCTACCTATCTATGAGTATTTCGGAGTTAAAATCTAGATTGATAAAATAACAAAAGGATAAATGCCGTGAAATACACATGTGAAGCTACTGGACACAGTTAACTTACTTAAACATATTACAAGATGGAAAATTAATCATCCAATTTTGTTTTTAAACAACTTTTTGCTAAATAAAAAAATATGTAAATATATGTAATATGTATATACATTTAATCTGTAACGCTTTGAACTTTGAATTCTTAATTTTGTCTTCGCTAATGTAAAGTTGCTTGAACATTGGAACTTCGAACGATAATTTTGCGTACGGTATTGCATTTGATGCTGTTTAATACACAAATAATTAGCAAATAAAGATAGGGAATAACGAAGTACACATCTACATTCGACTGATGTCGATGAAACTTTAGTACCTACTGTTAGTTTTTGACATGGAACCACTAACATACCCACAGGTGTCGTGCTAATTCTATGGAATAATTTAATTTAATTTGAGAGTAATTAGTATGTGTTTCTACACCATGGTGGGTCGCTAGTTTATTATTTAAAAATACTATCTTCATATAACTAGATTACTACAGCTGCCTTCCCAGCTCAGTCAGATATAAAAGTAAAAATAATTTGTATTCAATAGATACGACAAAAGCGTTATAAATATTTATCTTATGAATAATAACGAGCGATATACCTATATTATACTAACGACTCACTCTCACTTCGCTCTGGTTCGTCCCTAGCTTGCTTCCCAATACAAACTTTCATCCCCATTTTCACCCCCTTAAGGGATCATTTCCGAGATAAATATCGTATCATATGTCCTTCCCAGGGTCCTAAACTATTTTCTTACCAATTTTCATCTAAATCGGTTCAGTAGTTCCAGAGATTACCCCCTACAACCTCACAAACTTCACTTCTTCATAATATTAGTTAAAAATTCCATGCTTGTTTTATCGCTTTATCTGTACCTACGTTTTGGCGATAGATGAGATATTTAGAATTTCAGTTTAATAAAGTTATTACATATCAGCTATTACCTACTGTTAAAGTTAACTTGAAGTTATTTAATCAAGCGCTCAGTCATGTTCTTTTGACCAATTAGACTATAGTTAGCGAGACAGTATAACTACGATATGGTATGGTATCATATTTCGGTATATTTGACTTTGAAAACGTTTCCTAATTGATATAAATGCTTTGTCTGATGAGAACAATGCCCTTTCGCCAGATGTTTTATTTGTCCCTTTGGAAACGATTTCGATAAATACGCATATTAGATACACTAGTCAATTGCAATTAAAATATTTATAATCAGTGTCTTTCAGTGCGTAAATCTAAGAAAGTATTTCTGAGGAAGTATTCAATGTCTTTGTTAAAATTTATTCATGTTAAATATTCGTATTATCTGATGAATTCATTTTAAGAAATAATTAGGTAATTTATAAACGTTTAATTGTCGACATTCTCAAATAATGTAAAAAAAAATTTGCAGACAAAGTATTGTAAGGTTGCATTTTTATATATTGAGTGTTTTAATAGACAATAATATATTTGATTTATAATATTTATGTATAAGGTATTTACTTATGTGACCTTGGCCGATAGGAATGTGTTTTAAAAAAATATAAAGGGCGCGAATATTCATTGGTTTTCCCGCGCTTTTGCACAGAGATCAGACCACCATGTAGGTCACTACGAATTGTTTGTAATTGTAATACTGAAAATTATGATTATAAATTATGTAACTCACTGGCGATTATAAAAGTACTGAATATAAAAATATAAGCAAGAAATATCTCGAAGTTTTATTAAGGATCCAACAGTAATGAATTTGTATTTTCTTCATTTATCTGTGGCGATAAAAATTTTGAATTTTGATATCCTTCGAATAATTTCTTTTTATTTAATTTTAACTTAATAAATATTTGTAAATCATCTGTATCTATGAATAGATGAAAATAAAAACCGGGCATTATTATTATTTTTTTAATATCGTAATAATTATTTAAAGCCCTGGGAACTGGGAAGAGAAAGAACCACTACGAGATAGGGTATTTTTATATGAAAATTTGGTTAGCATACAGGAAATATTTCAAACGTACATAAACAGTAAGGTGTCTGTATGTGCAGGTAAAAATAAAATTATTTATGTTTATAGTTCTAGATTAAACTGAATATATGATTATTTACATATTAACTAGCGTATTTATCAAACCTCTTCTTAAATTTATGACAATTTTATTTATTTAGTCATAGCAAAGATTTTTTATCCGCCTATTTTCTTGATGTATTGGAAATAAGTGAACGACATTAAAAAAAATACGCGCGTTTAAAATACGAGACGGACAAACTGACATTACAGAAAATATAAAATAAAAGATTGCCTTCGTTTACATTTATTTTACTTCCAAGTAAGTGTCAAATATTAGAAGATGATTGATTATGTTCA